AAATCTGAAATATTACCCCAGGGTTGCAAGAGTACAACCAGTTCCTAAAAAAGACAAAAAGACACTACCTAGCAACTACAGACCGATCGCACTGGTATCTATTATTTCAAAGATCATGGAGAAAGCTATCAAGATCGAGTTCATGAGTACCTAGAACATTCAGGTATTATCAACGATAGGCAATATGGCTTTCGTCATCAGAGATCAACTGGTGACCTGCTCGCTTACGTCTGATATATATGACAGCAATCTATTGAAAAATATGGTGAAACCTCAACCGTGGCACTTGATATCTCCAAGGCATTCGATCGAGTCTGGCACCACGGACTCCTCGCCAAGCGTCCATCTTATGGCTTGTCTCCCCAGCTATGTGCTCTGCTAGCTAGTTTTCTCTCAAACAGGTCTCTCCATGTAGTGGTCGACGGAGTTTCATCTGACTCTCTCATCATAAATGCTGGTGTTCCGCAAGGATCAATTCTAGGACGACCACTATTTCTACTCCATATCAACGATTTGTTGGAAGCAACTTCATGTCCAGTACACAGCTTCGCGGATGATAGTACCCTCCATACCGCCCTCTCTTCCAGGGCTCCAATACCAGCCAGGCAAATCAGAAACGAGCTAGGGAGAAATGTTGACAACATAAATATGGACTTGGCAACAATTCTTGAATGGGGATCCAATAACTTGGTAGATTTCAATGCAAACAAAACACGAGCATGCCTTTTCTCTAGAAAAGCCGATCTCACTGTGCCCAACATAAGCTTGTCAGGAGTAACCATACCTTTGAAGACATCCATTTCGATGCTTGGTATATTACTATCAGCAATAACCTTTCTTGTGAAAATCACGTGAGATCAATTGCTAAAAGTGCATTCCAAAAACTTGGTTGTCTGTTTCGAGCCAGGAGCTACTTCACTTCCAGTCAGCTGCTTATGATCTATAAGGCACAGATCCGACCTGTCCTGGAATACGTACTGTTCCCATATTTGGAGTGCAGCTCCCAAACATACCCTGAAACTGTTTGATTCTGTCTCGTGGGTGATGCCTCGCTCACAAACTCACTCACTTCTCTGGAATACCCTACAAAAAATGGCGATCTGGCTCAATTTCATAGATATTTTCATGGACGATGCTCTTCTGAAATATCAACAATTGTTCCTCCCTTATTTGGCAGTCCTCGCAAGATTAACCCGTCGAGTTGAGTCTTCGCACCCCTTCGTGGTCACTTTGGAGACCTGCAGAACATCTCTTTTCAAAGACTCGTTCATCCAACGAACAGCGAGGCTCTGGAACACATTGCCAAGGGAGAGTTGTTCCCCGAGACATATAACCTCCAGCAATTTAAGAAGAACACCAATTCCTACCTTATTTCCCTCGGCTCTCACGATTTTCTCTGAACATTACAGGATATCCCTTTTCGTGAGAACCAGAACTCAAAAAAAAAAAACAACCAAGAGACTCACTGCATCTCACTGGAACCCCACATTCTTGTCTATTCATGTTAACAAATGGAATTAAAATCAATTTTAATGTTGAATGAAGAGTCGTTTAATACGTAGTGTGTGTTTCATTTGGCATCATAATGTGAATAATTAAATGACCCAAAAAGGTTCGGAAATAGCAGTCATTGTAAGCATCTGAGGCGATTCATCTTACAGTGGAGTGAAGGCAATAGGACAGGACGAAATTCTCACAGTCTACTCCACTATACTTTATTGTAATCAAATTACGGGACATGTTTCGAAGCTTTAAAGCTTCATCATCAGCTTTTAGTTACTTACATAGGAGCACGCACTGTTCTGGAGGAATACGTTATGTTCACATATTACAACAAAATTCATAAACATTTTTACGAATATATAGTTAAAATAGAGGGATCGCAATTATTGCGGATCACCTATGTTAGGGGACTGGTATGTAAAACTTAATGGCACAATTATCCAATGAGAATCAATTATTTTGCCAACTAGGTATATTTTTTTAAATTTTGAATCTTGTTGTAATATGTGTACATAATTTATTCCTCCAGAACAGTGCTTCTATGTAACGAAAAGCTGATGATGAAGCTTTGAAGCTTCGAAACATGTCCCGTAATTTGATTACACTAAAGTATAGTTTTGGTGGAGTAGACTGTAAGAATTTCGTCCTGTTCCAGCAGTCATTGTGATCTCAGTGGGACTCTCATTTCGAGTCACGGATGTGATGTGTGGCATGAATGTGATACCCTCTCATATCTCTGGGCTGAATCTGTATTACCTGGGACTATTGATTGTTGAAAGAGTCAACAATTTCGAAAAGGACTATCAGGCAATTTTTTGTCGGAACAGTGACTAGCCTTTTCGATCCCGGCATAGCTTGAATACCCCCTTACGCAAAATCACATGTAGGGTGTTAGTTATTCAATGGCAAATTTTGATATTTTTGATTAACCTTCTATCGAAATCTAAGGAGGGAAGTAGTTAATCAATGGAGGAACACATCGACTACCTAGATACAAAGTTTCATCGTTGTAACTTCTATTGGAAGCCAAAACTCAATGAAACTAAAGTTGAGGTTCACCATTTTGGAAACTCAAGTAAACCGTTTTTCACCACACTTCACCACACAGTAATTTAGAAAATCGTCTCTATTGATGAAAAACTGTCGAATATAACAGAAATAGAATGAGAGACAAACAAAAAACTGCAAGGTGATTTAGGTAATGATACTTAATGTGATCATAACTATATACCGATTTTGGCGAAATGTAAGAAAAATTGGGAAATTATCATGCATAGAGAATATTTCCTCGAATTAGTTACCATTATTTATATTTTCAGGAAAAAAATATATGGATCATAATGAAAAAATCGCCAACTTCAATTTCAATTATTTTTGGTTGACGTAGAGAGATCTTCCTGTAGAAGTAACAACGATGAAACTTCGTATCTGAGTTTGCAATGTGTTCTTCCATTGAATGACTACTTTACCGATTATATTAACTCCTTATATTTTGATACAGGGTGAATCGAAAAATCAAAAATATCAACATTTGTCAATGAATAACTAACACCCTATATAAGATTTGGCGTTCAAATTTCGTATGTCGGTTCAAAAGCTATGCCTGAATCGAATAGACTATAGTCACAGTTTCGACAAAAATGCCTGATAGTCGTTTTTGAAATTTTGACCTATTCGACAAACAAAAGTAGGCCTTATGGAAAATTACTATATTATGAAATTTTTGTCCTTATAAATCAGTCGACAAGTTCCAAATTAGGAGGCTGTTGCGGGTTGAAATCGCACACACTGTATGTAGTACAGGGTGGGAAAATTTCGACGTTTGTATGCAGTATGTCGAAATATTTTTCCGTTGGCTTCGTACTGATGTATTTGATTAATGTACACGAAATTGATTGTTAATGACTCCTATCAATTTGTCGATTAACGATTAAAGTTGGCATAGGCAACCAAACATACACCGCGTCGATTCATTTTCGGGATTATACCGGGTGTTTCCGAAACTCGGGCAATCCATTTTCAATATCGATGCACACGTTACTTATTATACATAGCGTCTAGGGCGTTAGTGCATATATGAAGTTGCTGGGAACATTATTGAAAAAGCTGGTGAGGATGTATATAGTAGAGTCAAAATATAAATAACGTTTCTGCAAAAGTAATTTGAAAGAAACAAAAAAGAAAAATAAATTTCAAGATCCTGTAACTCCGAGACAAAGCATTTCCGGACACAAGTTACTGATTAATGTCTACCTTTTTTTTAATTGTCTCACGACTTCGCCATTTGAATATTTTAACGTACTCATGCTACACATGTATAGGATGGCTCAGAAACACATGAAAGTATATAGTGGTTGTTTGTGAAGTTTCAGGAGAAAATAACTTTCACATTTTTGGAAATCCATTTTCAAGGCCCCCTTCCAAAGAACCGCATATTATATATCTTCTTTATGAAAGCTTAAAACTCACCGGCATCAAAAACGAACTGGACACCCTAAAAAAGTTTATCAAGTTCTCCTATAAATCATACATTCAATAACTGAATAAACAGTGTAGCAATAATCATTCTTGATAATTATGAGGGGGGTGGTTTTTCTGCCGGTGAATATTTTGAACATCAAAGTATTTGAAAAACAGATATAATTTTCCGTCAAGAACAGTTTCCACCACTTGCAGAGGCACTGTTTAACTATGGGTTATCGTTGGCATTCAGCTGGAGCTTATTTACACCCTCAAAATAATTTTTTTATGTTTTGCAGGGTTGGATTTATTCATATAGGTATTATTTTGGATAGGTGTTGCAGGGATTGTTTCTATAGTCAAATCGTCAATTACTTAATTGGGGATGTTGAATAGTCCAGCAGTTCTTTATAATTATATAATACCCTCAAAATATTGTTTTGTATTTGATGGCATGAAAAAAACATGTTGTCCGCCACTGGGTATTCGGCAATGTTCGGAGATCTTGGCTGCTATCTTTGGCTGCCATTTTCACACAGCTGTCAGCTGGGGCCAGCGAAATGAGAAGAAGACGAATTTGACACATGAATGTGGCAACACCGCCTTATAATGACATCACATCATTTGAATGGTGGCATCTTGTTGACGTTTCACGGCTTGTTAGCTTTCAAAATATTTTTCTAAAATGTGATTTTGAGGCAGTTTCGCTCTCAAAACAAGTAATACATCTCCAAATCATGTTCAAAATTATACGTGAATATTTCTCATATCCTATATGAATTTTGGGTGAGTTTCAACATTTGTATTATTGGTCTGAAGATAAATTCAAAAATGGGTTTGTCTTCACAAGTGGCTAAAAAACAATCTATATTTCTTGCCTGCACTGGGTGAAAGCCAGCTAGTCCTTATTGTACGTGTTCTATCACAAACTAATTAGTCTTCTTGATAAAAAATCAAAATTCATTAAACCTCTTTTTTTATCCTAGGAATTCTTTAATAGTTACATTTAGTAAAGGTAAGTCCTTGCCTCGTCGAAAATGCGCTTCAACAAGCAGGAATTAGTGACCCTTGCTACTCAACCTTCAACAAAGTTTGAAAAGGAAGGCATTCTGTTTATCCGGGAAAGACAAGAAGGATTTTTCAGGAAGTCAGAAAGTAAGTACCTACCTTGGCACCTACCTATTGATTCTTCTATAAACAAATATATCTATAAAGTAATTTATAAAATGTACAAAGTGTGGATATCACAATAATGCTAATAATGTCAGATAGGTTTGATCTTTGTAAAGTTTTTGGAAATCCAATTTTACTATCAGTGTGCATGTGTACAGTTGTGGAAATCCAATTTTACTATCAGTGTGTGGATACTTGCACATCCTTGTCCAAGTAGATGATTTACTTACTTCAAATGACTGTACAAATTGAGAAATGAAAAGGAATGATAAAAAAATTGCTCACAGGTGCAAACTTCCATTTTGAGGAAAATTCATGTTATAACATGTCTGTATGGAAATCAAATTTTTCATTACCTACATCTTATATTCAAGAGTTTTAGGATGTTTATAGTATGATATTGAGAAATTCACACATAATAATGAGTAAAATGAAAAGGTTTGGCCTTAATTGTTGTTTATATTTGGCATCTTGTCTGAAGAAAGAGTGCATGTATTTGCATTCATTTATCACCCATTATTAAAATATTGAAGAGGCATTTGCATGTGACAATTAGATGCATCTTACATTGGCATGTTGATGTTTAAATGTTCTCCATTGTATAATCTCATAAAAATGATTACCTGCTACTTCATAAATTCATTAATTACTTCAATTACTGAAATCTGTAAATTGGTCTTGAAGATATTAATCCCATATACTGTGTAAAAATCAGAAATATGTACAAAATGTAATATAGAAAAACTGAATAATTTAATATATTTCAAGAACCAGATGAAATATGTTTATCTGTTCATATCATTTTTACATTATTACATGTATTTATAATCTGGATGTATTCATTTATTTCTTGGGATTGTGATCTTTATCCCACTTATTAATATGTTGAGTTGGCGTTGAAGGTGATTTGTTAATGATAATGCATTACAGGGAAGGAAAAGAAAAGACAAAAACATGAAAAACGACTTCGAAATCTGAGCTGTGTGGGGGTCGTGAACAAAGGTACTACATCACAACGCACAGTGTGAAAATGCTAGGTTATCTTGATTTCATTAATTAAAAAATAACATATCCACTATATACAGTGTGTCTCACTTTTTATGAATATCAATCAATCAATCAAAATATACTTTATTGTCAGAAGAAACAAATTCTTGTTGACAAAGCATGATAATAAATAAATAAATATAAATATAGTGAATGAAGTGAATAAAAAATTTCACAGTCAGAGTTGAACCCATTAAAATACAAAATAGATGAATACAAAAACAAAAATACATATAGATAGTTCAAAACATTAACAATTAAAATAAATGATAAAATATAAATGATGAAATTATTGTATAGACATGCACTCATATTGGAATACAGATATATATATATATATAAAACAGATGAAAAATAAATAAAATTTAAGGTAAAAAAGTAATAGGTTTTGAACATAATATAATTAATAAAAATGTGTTGCACTTATTACATTTAGGAATGTACAAGCCAGTCAAATTTGTTAGGTATGTAGGAAAGGCATAAATAACAAATAACATGTAACATAACATATAACAGTTAAAAGTCAATAATCACTCCAACTTATCGTCAAAAAAATCCTGTAGAGAATAATAGGTCTTTTCGATAAACAACCTATTCACAGCCTTTCTGAATGCCTTTGGTTCCTCAATTTGTTTAATATGTAATGGCAAATGATTGAACATTTTGATTCCATTAAAAATCATCGAATCCCTAACTAGAGAACTATTTGGAATTGGAAGATCTAGGTTACAGGTAGGTCGACGGGTATTGTACGATGAAACATGCCTGGCGAAAGAGGTTTTATGTTTCATTATCAGACATACTGATTCCAGAATAAAAATGGAAATTACTGTTAAGATTCCATGTGCCTTGAATAATGGTTTGCAGTTATCTCTTACTTTTGCCTTGCAAACGTACCGTAATGCCCTTTTTTGTAATACAAAAATCATATCCAAGAGTTCTCTTGAACAAACTCCCCAGAAAGCTATTCCATATCTGATGTGGCAGTCTACTAAAGCAAAGTAGGCTGTTCTTGATAGGGAATATCCCAACTCATCAGAAATGACTCTCAGAGCATAACAACCAGATGCTACTTTCTTACTCAACTTCACTACATGGTCTCTGAATTTCAAATTATCATCTACAGTAAGTCCAAGAAATGTGGAATTGTTCTTCTTATTTATTAAATCATTTCCTAGCCAAATATCAGGTAATGCACATCTGAAGGTGATAATACTCGTTTTGCCTATATTGAAAGAGAGTTTGTTCGAATCACACCATTTTTTTATTTTATTTATGTCATGAGATATTGAATTATGCAACTCGTCCAGCTTTCTATTGTGCCACAAGATAGTAGTGTCATCTGCGAAGAGAGTTAAGGCGCCTGTTATATTCACAAGGGTTAGATCGTTTATATATAGGAGAAAGAGAGTTGGGCCCAGTACTGATCCTTGAGGGACACCGCATCTGACAGACTGCTCAGATGAATATTTCGTAGTTTTTACAATTTGGTTACGATTTGATAAATACGATTCGAACCAGCTGAGAGTGGTATTTCTGAAACCGTAACGATGAAGCTTTCGTAGAAGAATGTCATGGTTTACACAGTCGAAGGCTTTAGATAGGTCGCAGAAGACTGCAGCAACTGACTCTCTGGCATTGGTTTCAGTGTACACTTTCTCTAATAGGGAAAACATAGCATCACTAGTGGTTTTTTTGGCTTGAAAACCGAATTGATGGGGACTTAAAATATTGTTGTGATTACAAAATGTCACTATCCTGTTCTTAACTAGTCTTTCAATGATCTTAGCTAATGTTGGAATGAGTGCAATAGGTCGAAAGTTGGAAGGATCCTTCAAATCACCACCCTTGTGGAGAGGAATTACGACTGATGTCTTCAAAAAGTGGGGAAACTCACCGGTTTCGAATGATTTATTAATCAGTTGTGATAATGTAGTTATAGCAGAATGCGGAAGATTTTCAAAAATTTTTATGGAGAGTTCATCAATACCTCGACTATTTCTGTTTTTTATATCTTTGATGATTGCCACAACTTCGGCCGGGTTTGTTTCCTGGAGTTGAAAATTCTCTAGAACATTTATATTATCTAAATATGATAATGGATTAGTATCTGATGATAAATTCCCTGTAAGTGTGTCAGCTATGGTACAATAGTAATCGTTCAGCAAATTGGAATCCAAGTCAACAGACGAGTTCTTGTGAGGCTTTCCTCTGAGATCATTGATAATGGACCAACTCTCTTTCGATTTATTTCCTGAATTATCAATTCTTTGATTGTAGTATAGCTGCTTCGCCTGTTTTAGGACTCTTCTATAAATTCTCCTGTAATTATTATAATAGTCATAAAAGAAAGTCTGATTTGGATCCGTGAATTTTATAATATAATGTAATGATCTTAGGTTCATTGCAGCTATTCTGATACCTTTTGTAATCCATGGCTTCTTGTTTTTTTGTTTGATTTTTTGTAAGGGAAACGATGTGTTGAAAATGTCCAATAATTTGAAATAAAATGCTTCGAACGGGCGAGAATAGGTTAAGAATGAGTTCCAGTTAGTCCGTACGCATTGCGTAAAAAACTTATTGTAATTATTTTTACTGAATAGCCGACCAATTTTATCTCTACTTGATAATTTATCGGATTGAAATTTAAAAGTGCAAGCAATAGCTTCGTGATCAGATAAACCTGCAGAAACAACAGAACAGTCAATATTTTCCGAATCGGTATTGGTACAGATATAATCTATTATTGATGCAGAATATTGACTAATACGGGTGTGCGAGTTGACATGCATAGTCAGATCAAATGAGTCGAGAAGGTTATTCAATAATTGAGTACAAAGTGATTCAGTATCTTCAAAGTTAATATTGAAATCACCTGCAAGCAGAACAGATGAATTCGTAGGTAATTGAGAAAGAAGTAACTCTAAACAATTTAAAAACGAGTGAACCTCAGACGCAGGGGATCTGTAAATACAAAGGATATATAATTTCATGGTGGAACAGAATGCTATAGAAAATTCGAATGTCTTTTCTTGAAGAAGAGCGTCATATTTATCAATATTTACAAAATTTAGTACTTGTGAATTATGTAGCATTATTGCAGTTCCGCCATGAATATGGTTATTTCTACAATACATCGAAATTACGGAATATTCTGGAACACATACAGCCTCGCCCTCTTTCAGCCAATGCTCAGTAAGAAGGACTACATTAGGAAAGTTTTGACTCTCTAGGAAAATGTATAGTTCATCAGTTTTGTTGCGAATGGATTGAATATTCAATAATAGGAGTGATAAGTCTTGGTTTTTACTTCGTGCATATTTCATTTGTGATGATGTCAGAACTGAATTGATTTCACACAAGCCTTCTCTAAAAAACTTTCATTTGTTTCACATTGAATTGAGATTTCCTCGTATAAACTCAGATTATTACTGGAGACTTGGTTGTATGAGATTTCTGTAGTAGGTGTTGTTACTGATGAATTATCCAATTTGCTGTTTTCCATGTTTCCACAAATATATTCACTGATTTCACTCGAAAGTATTGGATTCTTATTAAACATTGCAGTTAAAGTGATAGTTTTTAAAGCAGTTGTTAAACATTTCTTGCATTGATCTATGGAGTTTTTGATTTTTTGAAGTACATCAACTTTGCTTCCTTTTTTGTTTTGGTCAGCGAAAAAATATAAAGAGCAGTTTTTGTTGATTTTTCTGAAGGAATTGATTCGATTGTAAATAGTATTATTAATCTTTTTGTCCAATATACAGCTTCGTTGAGAAATTATTATTACGTTGGTGGTTTTACTGAGACCAAGGGTATTTTTCAAAAATAGATGCAAAGTTTTGTTGTTACTTACGTTGTTTGTATTGAACATCACGATAAGTATATCATCCTGACCATAATCAACCGTCTTGGAAAATAAATTTTCAGTGAACTCTGATAGTTCAGCATTGGGTGTAATTATTTCCCTTATACTATATGTATACCCTAATGACTTGTCTATTACTCTAGAAAAACCTATTGCATACTGGTCTCCACAGACGAGAATTCTCCTTTTCACACTTGATACATTTGTTGCATTAACTTCTGTATCCGCTATGTCACTAACAATACTTGAGCTATCTAGGCTGATATCTCTCGCATTCGCAGCTTCATTCTCTTCCTCGTTTTCCTCAATTTGTAAATTGTATTCAGTATTATTTTCATCATTGATTTTGAAAGTTCTCGAATCAATTGTCATATTCGATACATTCGAGTCTTTTGATAGGATTGGTTCATCACATTGCACGTCATTGCCTGCGTCTTGACGCATAATCGTTGACCCTGCCGAGATCCCTGCCTTTTTCTCAGTCTCAGCGGGAACGCCACTGTAATGACCTTCTGTATTTGTGGCTTTATGATACGTAGGTGTACTTCTCGTTTGTGTACTGATTGTATTCCCAAGTACACTTTTTTGTAGAAGTTCTTTCTGAAGTTCGTTTATCTTATCTTCCATTTCTTTCGTTAGTTTATTTTGCATTTCTATGAGATTGTTCATCTCAGATTCCATATCTAATGCCTGTTGCAAATATACACTTTTTTCATGTTTCAGCTTCTCCATATAATTATTTTTCATCTCACCATCTTGAACTAATTCGCTTATCGTTTTTTCCAATAAACTTGTCTCCTCTTCTTGCAGTTCTTGGTTAATTATAACTTTTTCTTTGCAGCATATTATTTTATTGTCCTTCACAAAAACAACTTTTTTCTTGAAATTGGTTAGCAGACAACTCTTATGAAAAACACTTGAACATTCGGTGCAAACATAATGCACAAATGGTTTAGTTTTGCAACATTTATAATTTATGCTGATAGAACTATGTGAACGCGTGTTGCCTGCCATGCTATAACTGAGTTTATCAAGTACAAAAATATTCAACTAGAATACACCCTAATATCTCAGTTATTACTGATGCAATTTTCTAGAGATTTTTGGGTGATTGTATGTTAGAAAAAAAAAAGTTCATATTTTCAGAATCTCAAGAAAAATTTGAAATCCCGCTTTTCATGACTATGCCCTAAGATTTCAGTTATTAATAATGCGATTTTTTTAAAATTGTGATGGTGATTGTATGTTATTTTTCTAACATACAATCACCATCATAATTTCAAGAAGCTAAGAATTTAGAGTGTTGTCATGAAAAGTGCGATTTTGAAATATTTCTGCTCATGGGATCTCGAAAATATAAATTGGGGGGTTTTTGGGGATGCTAAATCTGAATCTGATAGAACAAGTTATCTAAAATGAGTCCTACTATCCTTTTCCCAAATTAAGGTCTTCGTTACCGTCCACAACACCGCACACCAACGATAAATTAAAATGTTCACTATGCAAAAGACTTCTTTGTTAACATTCAATCGCCACAAAAATTTTAAGAGAATCGCATCATTTATAACTGATAAGGGTGTATTCATGAGAAGCGGGACACACTGTATATTTATTTATTGCAAGGTGTGTCATATAAGAATGCACTCTACAGAGATTCCTAAATGATTTGTTTCCAGTTTAAAAAAGTATAGTTACATTTAAATGTAAAAGTCAAATCAGTAAGGTCATATTATTTTTTGGCAAATCTCAAAGAATTCTGATTTATACTCACCCTATTAAGTGCATTGTTTTATTGAGCACCATGTATACAAAATTGTTGAAAAAAGGAGATTGCAGTGACTTATTTTAATATCAAGATATTCTTTGAACTATGGAACTATGGAAAAAAATCATTGGTATTGATTTTTTTCAATTGAAATTTGTCATCATTCCAAGAGGATTTGAGAAATTTTGCACAAATGAGTAGGAAAAATTCTACCTGAAACTGTCGATATAAAAATAATTTTGTTGGAGAAATAATTGAAAAACTAATTTTGTAAATCCTCATCATGATCATTGGGTATTCACTATATAATCAAGGTCATTATTCATAAAAAATCATATTCTAGTCGCTTCTGCTTTTAACTTGACTTCATTTGAAATTCTCAAACTGCTGAAATGTTGCAGATATTTTTTTTGTTTAACACCATCTAACCAATCAATATTATGTAAGTTCATTTCTCAAGATAACCTGGTATCTAACTATTCTTTAACCCACTGGCTAATATGTTTTTAGACACCGCTAACCTTAATAAAATCACGTTGGTGCTTTCCAGGTTTAAGCAAAAATGGATTTGTGTGTACACTGGTGAAGGTTTTACTAACATAGTGCTTCTTATATTTTATAGCATACTCTATCACTTGTTGCTGATATTTTCTATATATATGGATTTTCTATTGTGTAGATTATTTTTTGTACCTACCACACATTTTCATTTGTATTGTACTACTAATGATAATTGGTATGCTCCAACTTTATATCCTCCAAAAATTCCCCTCCAACTCCTAAAATTACACAGTTAATCCATAAATTACTCCCAAAATTATGACAGGCCTTTCATGTAATGTTGTTCCTAAATTTCAAATTTGAGTTAAAAATACCAGTTTAGGTATGCAAAATTGTTTCCATTGTACTCCTCACACTTGAAGAAGAGAGAAGAGAAGATAAAGTTCACTTTATCAGAATATCTCCAATAGATATATTATCAGTGGTCATCAATATTCACTGAGGGTTGGATATCACAACGCTAGTTTCTTTTTTCTGTGACGGGAAAAAAGTTTGGCATTTCATCTCTGTTGGCAGGTTATAAAATGTCACTTTTCATAAATTACTTTTTTCCCGTGGGAAAAAAGTGAGTACTTCTTTCCCGGATATATATCACATATATATACTCTGTTAATGGCTTTTGTTGTGCTATAGTTCCGAAAAATGAGTCAATAATACCGTCTCCGAGAAAGAACTGCAAGTCCTTTTATCTTCCATTCGACTTCGCGGTTTCGTATATTACTGAATAACTACTGAATTCGCAATTTTTTAAAATCAAATCACAGAATTGAACTGACAGAAGTGACATCAGATATTTGATTACTTCAAAAGAATGATGAAGATGCCTATAAAACGCAGGTGTCCCTACTGTTTAAAACTTGAAATTTCACGTCGATAATTTTCAGATTTCGAAATAATGTAATATCTTCTCAATATTGATTCGTCCTTCCTTCTGTCACAGAAAAAAATAGTGTATTATACACGGGAAAAATATTAGATTTTAGCTCACGGTTTTTTGTCTCCCTCCGCTACGCGTCGGGAGACAACACAACCTGGAGCTAAAATCTACTACTTTTTTCCCTTGTATAATAAATAACTATTTCATCTGTGCTCTGGAGGATTGAAATTTAGTAATTTTTGCATGTGTGAAATAGTTACCTACGTTTCCAACTTCTTATTGTAATATAGGCTCACCACGAAAAATAATTCTATTCAAGAACATTTAGCTATTTAGGTACTAATATTTGCATTATTTCCTAATAAAATGAAAATCTCAAGTAGATAGTTGAATAATAATTATGTAAGTATTTAATTTCTACTACTGTAAACTGTCGTACCCCATATTCAGAAAAGTATAAGTAGGCTAGGTTGAGAAGTTGACGCTTATTCCACAACTTATATCAAGTACGCCTCCGAAATTTGCTGTGTTTTTGAAGATAAAAATTCAAAATTCAGAATTAAGATCATTATAAATGTGCCTGAAAAAGTACACTCTTTGTTCATATTATAGCCAAAATGAAGTACCTATAAAGATTTGACTTTTTTCTGACGTTTTATCGAAACATCCATCAAGGTCCTGTAGACAACAGTTTTCGGAAGTGAATCCGTCTTTTGTTTTTCAAATGTAAAATAAAATTATTTCAAAAATGTTAACAAAGTTTTCGCAGTCTTCTAGTTTTTTCAAATTTAAATTTCAATTACAATTTGAGAAGTTATGAAAAATTGTTCAACCAAACTGTATAATATCAATCGACAAAATTAGTATATCATGGAGTTCTAAATTCGGAAGTTTTCAAATCTTATATGAACTAAATATTATACTTGAATACATTAACATATTTTTTTAATCAAGTACAGTTGTGTGCCATAAACAAGTCGTACAAGGTTTGTATGGTGTAAGCCTGCCTATGATGTTCCAGATTTCATTTAAAAGTGCTACACGTACACATTTGCACGTTACTGACAATAATAATTTTGAATTCTGACATTACTTGTCAAAGTCGATAAGAAGATTAATTAAGATTGAGAAGCCTGGCTCACAATAGCCTATAACTGCTATACGACTTGTTCACACAACTGTACATCAACTTTTCAGTTTATGATCTCGAAATGTGGAATAATATCAGAATAATTTGTGTTCAGAGATAAAAGAAGATCATGTAAAAATTGGGTCATAAGAACTGGATTTGTTATCTACAGTTGTTCCAATCACAATAACAATTTCAGGTATCTTGAAAAATCAGCAATTTTTTTGTGGCATAACTGGCATACCTACCATGCCTAGTGATCAGCCCGGTATACCTAGTCAATATTGTATTGTCTTGTTTAGGTTTCACTGTGCATCGCTTATATGAATATTTGTTTTGTGTAGACCAGAGCTATCCTGAATTAATCTAGAATTGGCAATATCTGTTATAAGTAATTTACGTAACGAGTCCGGAAAATACTGTTTTTATTTGACGAGTAGACAAAATTCTAGGCCGAGCCGCAGGCGAGTCCTGAAAGTCTGCGAGTCCACAAAAACTGTTTTCGAACGTATTGCGTACACTATTTTTTCGGCAACCATGTAGAATAACAAATCAATGAGACACATTTCCATATTATGTTTCTTTGTGGAATACAATTTCTTCTTTATCAACTCTCATTTTTATCAAATGCTGAAATTTGAACAGAATACCTATACCTACAAACTGTTACATTGGAAATTTCGTATAGGCATTTTCAAAGTCACTATCGCAGCTGCTTCCGATAGTTTATTGTGACAATTGATACCAAACTTTCAAAAATCAAAACGTCAACAAATTTTATCTCAAATAGTTGTCAACCGATATTTTGCTGCTATGGTAATTATCATCTGCATTGTTCAAAACCATATCTATCAAGATTTTCATAGTTACAGTGACAACAACGATGTGATACTTCCCGGCCTAGTCCGGGAAGTACGTACGAAAAATGCTACTTTCTCGAAGAAATAGCGTCCGGGAAGTACTCACTTCCCGAACGGTTGCCGAAAAAATCTATTTTGGACTGGTGAGACTTAGAATGTTAGCCCTCATTGTGCAAATGTTATTCAAATGCTTGCATGAAAAATTGAAGCCCCAGTTACATCAAGCTAAGATCAATTTAGGTAAATTTCTACTTATACCCAGATTTGTTGTAGCTCTGGTATGCCGTTGGGTTGTTTTGATATATTCCTATTGTTTGTAGCAGGATTTGCACATCTCATAACCAACTGTGAGTAAACATCAGTCAGCTATTTTCGTGTTTTTCCAGTCAGTCTAGAACGATGGTGTCGCTTGAGAGGCAATCTCTTGTTCTACTTCAAGAACAGGGACCCGTGGTCAGAGCCATTAGGGGTAATCGTACTGGAACAGTGCCAAGTGCGAGTCGATCCTCCAATGGCATCGCCGCCTTTGACCGCCGATGGACATTATCCTTTCTATCTGGGTAGGAAATAGTATTCTATTTTTTCCACTACTAGCTATAGTAGAACCTACCATTATTCACTGTTTTTTGAGGATTAAAGTGTGTTATTCTATATAAAGGTAGTTTTCGTCATTTTATGTACTACTAGTCAATTAAGACATAGCCACCTCTGTTATAATTAACCGGAATTCACTGTTTTGATGCGAGATTCGTAGAAATGACACTTCAATCTAGTAGGTATTTATCAATAACGAATTTTCCTAATATGCTGTCATATTAATATACACCTTGGTAGTAATAGTACATTGTTTTATTAGAATCAAATGTGACACTTTGTTTGACAAGCGAAATTTGCATTTGCGAGGCGGAGCGAGCACGTAAATTTTGTGTGTTGTGTGTATAACTCAGGACATTTATGTTTTAGTTGTGATGGTTCATCATCTAATATTACAGTTATCTTGATATTTCTGAGATGCAAAATGATATATTCGAACCCAAAATAAGTTATCTGTGATCATATTAAATGACAGCGATTCCATCATTGGTATTCGTCACTGCAGCTATGATGTATTTCTATCATTCTTGAGAGATGAAACGTTATTGAGAATGAAATATAAAATATACCGGTCGTGCATAAAATCTTATATGTATTTCAGGCGTAACTTGCTTCTATGGGCCTTGGTGTGTTAATACTTACGCAACGGTCCATAAAAGCCTATTTACGCTCTTGATACATGAATAACTATTATAGTCATAAGAGATAATTTATTATGATTCATGTGAAGATTCAATGTCATATACAGTGCAGTAGGAAGAGCATTTGCTGATCAGAATTCGATTTTCATTTGTTCATCATCTTTAAAAAAATTTCACAATAATGTTGGTAAGTACCTACGAGATAATTTTATGGCAATTGAAAGCATGTTCATATTTTGGAGTTAATATAACAAGGAGTCTGACTGATCCAAAAATCTATTATTGAATAATCTATTAGATGCTCTTTTGCTTCACTGTAACGATGATAAAAGCAGGAAAGGACCATCGGTATATCCATGCATTTGTAACAAAGACGGGTATAGGTTTGGCTGTTTGTTGTCTTTCTCTCGTTTGTCGGTTTCATTGGTTGGTCCCTACATATTTCTCTAGGCGCAACAGTTCGATTTAAAAAAAATCAACAAGTTTAATTGGTCATCGTCTAGTTGTCACGTGCTTCAAATTCGTAGTTCAAAGAGTTTTTTATGGACTAGCCAAAACTATTGTCACCACCTCTGTATAAGCTGTATTCGGTTAGAAAGATTTAAATTTTATGCTGTATTGTTTCTTAACTTCTTGCTTTTTCGGTTTATTTCAGTTTTTGACGGTGGCCTGAGTCAAGCTTTAGCTTCCACCTCTGATATTGAACGATCAAGTTGGATGGATGCCATAAGGCAGGCTAGCTACGAGGGTGTCAGAGCTGAACTGAATGCTCTGAGACAGTGTATCGAGAGGAGGAGGAACCATAAACCGAATATCGATTTGCATACGTGGAGATTGCAACAAACCCACGTTTTTGGTAATGATAAGTATTATTGGGGGAGTTATTGATGAACACAACTGAGAAGATTGCATCGACACTAATAAAATACTTTAGCTCTAAAGATATGAGAGATTTCAGATACATTTGAAGCATTTGGTTATTGAATTGATAATTTTCAAGTACATCTCACGCTTTTTGAACTAAAAGAAGAAAAACAATAAGCTTATAGTGCCCCAAGTTTCAAAATGCTCGAGAGACGATTTTTATTATCAAACATCAACATAGCTGATAAGATTTGAAAAAATATTATAAGTGTAATCAAGTGATACTGTACCTGTTATTTTGTCCTGCGCTCTTAACCACAATGGTTGATGCGCATATTTGTGATTAAAAAAAAATAATTATCAACATTTTACCATGCCTTTTGTAGATATTACTGAGGTTCCCCTTTGCGAGATATCCCTGGCATGTGATAATTTACTCTGTGATGGTCACGGCAGACCACCGAATCCTTCCCTAGTGGTCGACGTGTACATTCCTTCTGCCAAGTTTTGGGTTCAGTACGGAAGAACGGAAATAATAGAGGTACAAGTCGAGTATCTGAGATATTGTTCGATTTCCTAAGTTTTTTTTTTAGAGATGCAGCAACCCCGGCTTTCTGAGCACCGTCAGTTTTCGTGCTTCAGATGGGTTGATGGGCGACACCAGAGTCAGATTTACCGTTTTCGATGTTAGAGAGAGGGTGTCACATACTGCCATACCATTGGGTTCAGCTTGTGTCCTACTTAGTGCCATACAGGTTAGTAAATTGTAAAAAAATGTGAATTTTTATAACATTTACATTGTTATTTTTGATGACCGGTTAGACAAAAAAAAATGATAAACATGTATGCATCCGCTACTGAGAGGTGATGTCATGGTTGGTGGAACTGTTAGGTATACTTCTTTTTTTCATTTGACCTATTCTTGTAATCTTAAAGTTGCTCGTGAAGTTCCACATTGAAATAAGGAAACCCAATCCCACCTAAGCCTATACAAAACCTGAGTTTTTGAATATGTTTACATAAGACACACCACTCTTACCGCTAATGCCATAAGATCGAAGCTCATTCATGTATGTAATCAAACTTGGTTCCATGGAGCTTCCGCATTGAGGATATGTCATATATCTTTTTTTTTTCATCGAGGTGGTTGAAATTCTTTATGGACACCATATCGGTCCAATCCCCCATATTATAGTGTGGGAGTCCCCTGACTCCAGGTATACCCACTAAACACTCCACCCCGTTTGTAGGCTCGTCTGACCGAAGTCTCTGACGACACTTAGGCCTAGTGGCCCATTGTATCTTACCTACATGCCGTTATCAATTTTACCATATACGACTCATGGTGCTTATTAAGGGCCACTTCAATATGAAAGACCCTTTTTGGTCATGTTCCTGAAGATTACTCTTCCGATCTCTGTTCTCGTCTACGAAGAAGGCCAAAAGTTTTCCTTCTCCTACGAGTGACGGGGTAAGGGGTTGGTCTAGCCTTGTGGTGCCCCCTGCACAGGGCTAAGGCTACTTACTCTGAGATGTCCCCTGTTTCCTAGACGCCCCGTTAGCGACACTATACCTCGGTGCCATTCATCAATCACCACGGGTTCACACAGCTTGGATTAGGTTGCCAGAGCCTCGTTGACCAGTCCTCGGCCACCTAGACAGACATCAGCAAATCGCCCCATCCCTGCCACAGATGTCCACAAATTGTCCCATCTGGCCCGGAGATAGCAAAGATGGTCCCAAAATGCTTCATCCGTCGAGCGGCCGCGATCTGTCCTCCCCATACCACTTGATGGTGAGGTTGGACTTGAAGGGGAGGAGGAAAAGAGAAGTTGGCCAAGAAAGGCCGATGGACAGATTGAAAAAGAAAGAGAGAAGAGGATATCACCCAAGACAAGTTGAAGTATGGTGAATATCCGGCTAGGGTACCTCGGGTTCACCATTCCCGTACTCACAAGTTGTGAGCCCCTGAGGGGGTCATATATCTTACTCACTCTTACTTATGTTTTCGAACACAAAGAAACTTGACTCGATATCATCGAACGACAGTTTGGAAGTTGCTGTGCATTGAGCAGAAGCAATCTCAGGCAAGCAATTTGAAGGAGATTTTCGGGTTGCTGGGATATGGCAACGGTCTAGATAGTTTGTCAATGACTCTTACTGCAAATTTCCGAAAGACAGGGGCTATCCAGCAATATTTGAAGAATTTCGACTTTGACATAGACCTTATGCCAACTGATGAGGCTGAAAAAATGTCTGACTGCTTAACGGTCAAATGCAAATTCCGTTAAACTATCTCTTAATAAATTATTCTCAGCTCCAAATGTTCAAATTGTTAGAATAATTCCAATAGAACCTATCTAACAGATACGTTCCCATTTTTATTTCTTCTTTCGGTTTTTCAGGATTCTGCAAGATTGCGAATCCCATTACTGTCAAGGACTCAGGCTACTGCTGGGTTTTTAACTATTAGCGCTTGGTCTTTGGAGGCCGAAGATAGAGGTAGCAGCACCGAGCATACGCCATGTAGAGTGTCATCACATAGTACATCATCACAAGTGAGTTCTTTCATCATATTCATCATCATCATCTTTTCTTTATTGGAAATATTAGTTTCCCGTAAAGTTGAAGTTTAATTTTCATATAATGTTCCATCAACTTGAGTAATTAAATTACAATGAAAGAACCAATAAAACAAGATTTATTTCAAAAATTTCTGAAGAACCTGACAATATGTACATTCAGTAAGTAGAATTCTTGATAACTGTGATACTCACTTCTTGTTTAGATAATTCAATTCTCAAAAGTTACCACTCTGTATAAACAAGTGGTATTATAATCTCGATATTAACCACAATATTTCCTCAAACGTAACACAAACTGTGAAATCATTTTGACGAATGCAAGATGAGGCCTCGTACTAGAAAAAGGATAAATACTGAGGTTGGTGATTTTTCAAGTGTTTTGCAAAATAGGACAACATTTTTAACATCAATGATTATCGTAGAAACGAAAACAAATTACCTATTAATTGTTTTTCAGGTTTGGTCTCACAGGAGATCTCAATCGTTACCCCCTAGGTTAGGTGTGAAAATGAGGCTTCCCAATCAAGCAGAGCTGAAATTACTGTTTGCTTCGCCTTACCTACAAACTTATCGGTTTCATTCTGGTCTTGGTGGAGATATTTGCGTCCACGAGTACATGGCCGAGAGTCGACTCTGCTTCTCATTTCCACGGCAAATTCTGTAAGTGTATTTGCTTTATTAATTTCCTGAATATTCCATTGGGATTATTAGTGTATTACATAACTTGTGTGGAAAGTGGATAATTGATTCTTATTCTGAAAAGAAACATGACAGGTACCGTCACGAAGAGAGTGTACTGATACTTTGATAGCTCTCTACAAAGGTTTGAAAGTTGCTACACTATCTGTTGTGAGATCAACAAAGAAGAAACCGGATTTCCGAAGCGTCGTTCTCATAGAATGAAGAAAAAACAGTTGCTGCAGAGGAAGCTGATGGGCAACTGACAAAATTCATTTAGAGACATAATTATTTCTTGAGGAACACCCTGTATCAATGAATATGTTGATACCATCTCAATGTTGATTATGCATTAATTTCGAGATTTTTGACCACCGTTTGAACCAGTATGACAAGAACACGTAGCCAATAGAAATTGGATATTCATATCACAGAAAATAGATGGTGCTATATGTTCTTTACCTCAAAGAAAGTTTGAAAATGTTTCCTTCCAAACGGGAAGCCTTTGAAATTTTCGATAAATTGGACAGCTTTGATTATCATCGTGTCAAATCTCATTCTGGAGGGATACAATAATCATTTCAGGTTGTGGACATTCAGAAACTGATGCTAAAACACCAAAACAGTTTATTTTAGATCAATAAATGACAACCAAACTTGGGTAAATCATTAGACACCAAATACCATTCATCGAGTTATGAGCACAGTTATCAAGAAAATATAAAACTATTTTGCTGGAAAAATCCACGGAGCAAACAGTTCGATATATCCATTTGGCAACAGTGTGAAAAATGAAGGGCGTGCTCATAGCTGTCAAATGGAGTGTGCAGGTTTGTTCTCAGTGGTCTGGGTCACAGTTCACACTAGTTAACAGAATTTTGTGGTCTCGTTAACGTTTTAAGTGATTTTTAACTGATTTATTTCATTAGTGACATTTCATGTCTATTGGGTACTACGCATTTCTGTATGAATCCAAAAGTTGATAAAAAAAACAGAAATGGATGCCGATCCTGAACCCCATTCCAATAACGCGGTATCATTGTTGCATACTGCGCAAACTCAGAAATGTAGGTGCGCGAAATCAATTTGGGTCGATAAAATTTTCATGCATTGGCATTCTAGGTGAATGTATAATATAATCCTCTACTATCCTATCACAAATGATGTTCAATGTTCCTCGAGCTTCTTCACGTACTTGTAATACATTTTACTTACCTGTACCTAACACAATACACAATTTCCACTCGCCTATAACATCAATGTCTAGAAGTGTAAACAATATCTCTACTGTCGATATCATTTGCACAGTTCTAACGTGTTATTCTCAACTCAGTTCCTAACTGATATTTTGTATAACTGTTTTGTTCTAATCACTCACTTTGTAATTATGTACACCTGTGATTGGGTTCTAGGGCCTACTGGATGTATAATAAATAAATAAATAAATAAATGACCAAAGAAAAATATCTGTCCTCTCCAGAGACATCTGGATCCACCAAGAGAAAGAGCTCCTGCAAGAAGTGGCCGGCATGGGGGAACTCCGCGAGCCATGGCACTCCCGGCAAGTGGAACTCCTCGACCGCCACCTGCACCTGTTGCGCCTCTACTCGCAGGCGCGGGAGAACCTGCACGCCCACAAGGGCAGCCTGTTCAAGGCCAGCGGTCGCAAGGGCGACAGAAGTTTGGAGTTCGCGCCGATCAACCTGCACCTGCAGCGCATGTGGGTGCACAACGACACGCTGAACAAGTCGGGGTTCTACGATTGGGTGACGGTGGGCGCTTTCACGGCGCATTCGCACAAGTCGAAGAACGGCGGGTTGATCAAGTGAGTTTACATCCCTAAAAGTTGCTGCCATTATACCAATCTACAAAAAAAATTACCCAAAGGATATTGAAAACTAATCGCGGGAATCAATGTTACCAGGTGGCGCTCGGTTTTCATCGTTCCATGTCAAAGCCACGTCAAAACTGGGGGAAAACAAACTCAATCCTCACTCAATCCCATAAGTGTCATTAGCTTGTGTACTGTGTACTGATAAGAGTGATAAGTTTTGAATTTCTTGACATTAATTGTCAATATTCGATCGAAAACGCTAATAATGCCTGTTGTAGATAGTATTTTGGCAGATATTTTGCTCTATTTAGATGGAAAAAGCCGACCAGTAGTGGGAGGAGAAGCAGTTCTCCGTGCTTATCATGTGATTTTGTGTGAGGCAGAAGACTTCAACAAAAGGCACACTTTTTTACTTTGTCTACAAACTTCGGCGATGAAATCTTCCCCACATGAAGTAAAATTGAAGTTGGGGTCGAGAGGAACTCCTGTAGAACAATGGATTTGTATTTGTTCCTGCAAAGCAGGACAATCTGGGTATTGTAAACATGTTGTAGCTGTTCTTTTATATGTCAATTGATTTGCTCGTCATAATTAGTCTGAATTGTTTGAACTATCTCCAATTCTTCACCCGTTCACTGTTCACTAAACTAATAAAAATGTAATGTAAAAAAATTAACCAACTCAACTATCATCACTACCAACACTGCCAACACTTTATGTCATTGACAAGTTTGACAACTAGTTACAGCAAGCTGTATGCAATGTTGTCTATGCACTTTATCCATAGACAGCAGTTTGTTTTCCCCCAGTTTGAAGTTCGTATTATGTAACCTAGATGTCGCCCACTTCGTGAATCTCGCGAATAGACCCATAGCACTACTGAGTATATTTTCAAAAATCATTGAAAAAGCTGTCTGTATGAAAATTGAGGCTTTCATGAAACAACATAAACTAATGTCGAATAGCCAACATGGTTTTCGTGCAGAACTTTCTACTGAGACGGGCACAGTGGAATTAACGCAACACATTCTTGACATGTTGAATAATGGTGAACGTGTAGTGACAATACTATTTGACCTGAGTCGGGCGTTTGACACAATTTCTCATTCGTTTGTATCTGAAAAGATTGAAAAAATGGGTATCCGGAAGCCAATTAACAACTAGATAAATGTCATACAAAATCGATACTTCTTTATTAAGATCGAGGACATAGTATCACAGGAATATGATATAAACTTCGGTACTCCCCAGGGTAGTGTCTTGGAGCCATTGATTTTCCTACTTTACGTCAATGATCTGCCGGAATTTATATCCCAAGGACGAGTTCTCATGTATGCCGATGATACGTCCATAGTTCTATCAGATTCAGACCCTGATAATATTTTTAATAAAATCAACGCAAAAATGACCGAATTCTCGATATGGAGCCAATCTAACAACATGATAATTAATTATGATAAGACAGATCATCGTGCTCTACGATAGTCATAGGCCACCACTCAATCTGAGAATTTCGTTCAACAACACTGTTATAAAAGCTTCTAATTTTGTAACACTCCTGGGAACAATAATTGATGAAAATATGACATGGAAACACCATATTGAACAGGTTTGTCGAAATCTTAATTAAAGATTTTTTGCAATTTCATCTCAAAAACAATCTGCACACCCATTCTCTAATGAATATTTACTATGCATTTGTAAACTCGACAGTGTCAAATAATCTAATTGAATGGGGGTCAGGCATCCGAGATTGAACGGGTCTTCATCGGACAGAAACGGATCGTCAGAGTGTTATTCAATCTCCAATTTAATTCGCCTCCAAAGACACCTCAGCCGACGTCTTCTACAAACGATAAGTTTTGTCGTACAGGTACGACAATCGTTAGCTACAGAATAAAGTTATGATTATCGTTCGCTAACAATGTCGTTAAGCGTTACAGAATTGCCCCCTTGCAAATGTAAATTAGGTTTGTAAAAAAATGACGGATAGTACTTTTTTTTCTGAACATCTCCCAATTTACAGTTGCAACTGTAAATAAGGGCTAATTTACAGTTGCAACTGTTTTGTACTGTAGGAAAATTTTCTAGGCTAGTTCAGCAACTAAAGGAGTCACCTATCAAGAATAGCACGAATTATCAGATAACCACAAAGATTTCAATGGCAAATGATGCAATACAGGTGAGTTCATTTATAAACTATTCAATTGTGTCATGAACGCTCATGTATAAAATATGTGTTTATAAAACTTGTATCAGCTGTGGTAGGAATATTCCATAATCATATCACTACATAACTTCAGGGTAGGAAGATTTCTTTTCATTTTCATACCTCAGTTTTTCTTAGGAATAAATAATTATACTGAAGAATTTACTCTGGAATTCGAAGGTGAGTTTCAATCCGGTCATATTTTCGGTAGGCGATAAAGCAGCTGAGAAAAGAAGTAGTAGAAGCCATGCGCACTTTGATGCGCCTTGCCAAAGAAAAACAGACCAACGGCATGTTACCCATATGCGAAGACATGATCAGCAAGACGCGAATCCTGCTCAGCCTGTGGGACCCTGGACTCGTGGAAGAGGCGCTCAACTTCATCGAAGATTACAAACTAGGTAAAATATCAGGTTCAGTTGTGAGACGAGTGTAATTTTCAATATATGTCCGGTCTCGTTTGCAATCAAACACCCAAAAACGCTCGAGTAGATGCTTTGACATGCTTTGACAAAGATGATATGTGGATTGACTACCTACCTCATTTCTGGTGAAATACAGTCTCTCATATTTGTGTCTTTTTTAGTTTATCTGGTCCAGAACAAAAGTGAACTGATCATTATTCATTCTTATGAAATTTGTAGATACTTATATGATACAGCACATAATTTTCCCACAGAAAATAATGCAGATTCAGTTCAATATAATGATCCATTTTATGAGTGAAAAACTGGCCCGTGTCATACGCCTTAATAAGCAAGATAAAATAAACGCATACTGGCCCTCCAGCGCTTCCGCAGAATTCCTATTTCAGAACATTATTTTATATTCCAAGCAATTATGACATCCTCAGATGGCAGATTTTTATAGAAGTCATTCACGGTCTACTAAAAAACTTTGAACAAAGTTCCATAATAGAATGCATGAAGGATTCAAATCGGAGAAATTTTTTTTTTGTAAACCGTGAATGACTGCTGTATCAACCCTTTCAAGTTAATCCGGTAGACCGTATTTTAATGTAGATATTGTGCCTGATTTCCGAAAATGAAGGTTTATCAAACCTGTCCACAGGTAACTAATCCTTCAGGTTGGGAAAGTAGGATATATAAGTTAAAGGTTAGTTTAGTTCATTGTACCAGTATATCACCTGACGAAGCTACTGTGTTAGCGAAACATGTCGTGTGTTAGAGAATTTTGTGGAAATCTTATCGTTCGTGAAGTTTTCACATTTATAATGATGATCTGATATTATAAAGACAATGAAGTGAGTTAGTATTGATAATGTGAAAGTCAAGCCATCAATTCGATAAACTGCTACCAGTAATATTTTATCACAGCACTGATGATGATTCCAGTTTCTACTTGAATTCAAATATCATCAATGATAGAAAAAATTGTTAAACGCAGTGACATTTCGGGACAACACATATAGAAACGATGAGAGAAAATCCCAAATAATCAAGTAAAATGAATGTATCATCTCCCCGATAACCTACAGACAGTATTTAATGAATCGAGAATGTTGTCATTGCATAAACAACAGTTTCTTCTTTATGTATCCTGCTTTCCTTATTTGTGTAGTTCGGAATAGAGGTCACTAGCTGACTGAAAATGTGATCAATATAGGCGATTTTCGCAGTTCTTTGTTCACTGTATAGACAATATTAAACCTCTGGCCAACTAACTAGATTTTTATTTGGAACGACAATGCACTGACACTGGCTCATCTTTCGTCAGATGTTGCGATAGTCTAAAAAAAAATTGTTCTAAAAAAAAAGTCTATATTGTTACACTGCATCTTTCTGTAGCGCAGGCGTAGGGGTGTGCATTGTTTGAATAATCTACTTATTCACCTTTGCACTTTCACCACGAGATGGCTCTGAGAGCTGCAGATATTGATTTGAACTTTGTGTTGAAAATAGTGTTTTTCTGTGGTTTCCCTGTCATTTTTTCATGCATTATTAATTTCCATTCGATCAAATATTTCTGCAGAACATAATATTGGTAAGTTCTTTCTTGGATTACCGATAATTATCATTGGAAGTACCTATGAGGTCTGTTTTCATTTATTTGGTTTACCATTGGGTCACTTGAGAGAGGATTTATATTTGAGATTACCATGTCACCTTCTCTGATATTCCAATCAATAGACCATTTTTCTCAGGTATGTTGTCTTCACTGTGTTTTTTTCATCCAAAAAATCCTGTATGCAGAATTCTATTCCATTGTAGTTTTGAAGTAGACAAAGTATAGGTACATTTTTACCTTGAAAGCTTTAGATATTTTTTTTCCTTCAAGTTCAAATCATCACTCCTGGAAAAAGTAAGTACTTATTAGAAGTAGTCATTCCTGAAGACATGCATATCTTTCATTCTTCCAGAGATCTAATAGAGTTTTCAATAACTCAAACTTTCACCTACTGATAGAAAACTTGTGATTTCTTTGAGTTTAGCATTCAAAGTCGGTGTACCGTTCTCTAGGTTTGAGTACCAGCTTCCGAGTCTTTAATGGCTCCTTTCTCAATCTTCATCTGAAACTCAGTCGTCTACATAACCTAACCTGATATATATTCATTACATTGTTTACAAGTTAAATATAATTATTGTATGCCAAATAACAAAATGCTTTACAAAATATCCAAAACAAAAAATATAACCAAATAATTAGACAAAGACAGAGCATTTGACATTAGCCTAAACTTGGCGGCTGCCAGCCCGTTGTCGTCACTGTGTTAAATGCAGTCACTGTAGATCGTCCTTCCCAATTTACTTTCGAATCACCGAACAATCGTTTAATCCACCCCCAGTCGTCAACGAGGACTCCGGCGTGGGCGACGACCTCGGCTCCGAAAACGGGGCGCGCCCCACTCTCGCCCTCTCCCCCTTCAAGCGCATCACGCAGCAGCTAACGTCGCTCGACCTCAAGAGCCCCGATCTCGAGGACTTCGCGACGCCGTGCACGCCCAGGGACGTCGCCGACCTGTGGAATGGGCGGGGCGTGGGCGTGGCTAGGGAAGGAGGCGTGGCCGGGAACCTGTTGAGCACGAGCGAGGGCGTGCGGAGCCTGTGCTCGGAGATGCGCACTCCGGACGAGGCGGGTTTTGTGCTGTTTCCCGATTGCGAGGACAGCCACCTAGAGGTGAGTTCGATGGTCCTAGTGTTTTTTTTATGTTCTGGTTCCCACCAAAAAAGATATCCTGTAATTTCTAGAGAACACTGTGAGAACCAAGGGAAATAAGGTAGGAATTGGTGTTCTTCTTGAATTTCTGGAGGTTATATGCCTCGGGGAACACCGCCCTTGGCAATGTGTTCCAGAGCCTCGCTGTTCGTTTTTACCAAGGAGTCTTTGGAAAGAGTTGTTCTGCAGGTCTCCAAAGTGACCACGAAGGGGTGCGAAGCCCCAACTCGACAGGTTAATCTCGCGGGGACTGCCAAGGGAGGAATAATTGTTGATATTTCAGAAGAGCATCGTCCATGAAAATATCTATAAAATAGAGCCAGATCGCCAACTTTTCGACGGTGTTCCAGAGAAGTGAGTGAGTTTGTGAGCGAGGCATCACCCACGAGACGAATTGCCTTTGTTTGGACAGAATCCAATAGTTTCAGGGTATGTTTGGGTGCTGCACTCTAAATATGGGAACAGTATTCCAGGAAAGGTCGGATGTGTGCCTTATGGGTCATAAGCAGCTGACTGGAAGTGAAATAGCTCCTGGCCCGAAACATAGGACCAAGTTTTCGGGATGCACTTTTAGCAATTGATCTCACGTGATTTTCTCAAGAAAGGTTATTGCTGATAGTAATACCAAGCATCGAAATGGATGTCTTCAAAGGTATCGTTACTCCTGACAAGCTTATGTTGGACACAGTGAGATCGGCTTTTCTAGAGAAAAGGCATGCTTGTGTTTTGTTTGCATTGAAATCTATCAAGCTGTTGGATCCCCATTCGAGAATTGTTGCCAAGTCCATATTTATGTTGTTTACATTTCTTCCTCGTTCGTTTCTGATTTGCCTGGCTGGTATTGGAGCCCTGGAAGAGAAGGCGGTATGGAGGGTACTATCATCCGCGATACTGGACATGAAATTGCTTCCAACAAATCGTTGATATGTAGTAGAAATAGTGTTGGTGCTAGAATTGATCCTAGCGGAAAACCAGGATTTATGATAAGAGAGTCAGATGAAACTCCGTCGACCACTACATGGAGAGACCTGTTTGAGAGAAAACTAGCTAGCAGAGAACATAGCTGGGAAGGCAAGCCATAAGATGGAAGCTTGGCGAGGAGTCCATGGTGCCAGACTCGATCGAATGCCTTGGAGGTATCAAGTGCCACGGCTAAGGTTCCACCATATTTTTCAATAGATTGCTGCCATATATGTTAGACGTAAGCGAGCAGGTCACCAGTTGATCTCTGATGACGGAAGCCATATTGCCTATCGTTGATAATACCTGAATGTTCCAGGTGTTTCATGAGCTTGATGTTGATAGCTTTCTCCATGATCTTTGAAATAATAGATAGCAGTGCGATCGGTCTGTAGTTGCTAGGTAGTCTTTTTGCCTTTTTAAGGAACTGGTTGTACTCTTGCAATTTTCCAGTTGGACGGGAATATCCCCAATTTGTAAGAGTAATTGAACAACTTGCAGAGAACAGGTGTTAGTTCGGGAGCACATTTCTTGAGAACAATCGGTGGGATTCCGTCGGAGCCACAAGCTTTGTTGGTGTTGAGACCCAATAAAATCTTCCTTATAGTACGTTGGCGAAAGGTGATCTCGGGCATATGACTGTCAATTGGCGTTATGCAAATAAATGCGCAAAAATGTTGGCTTTCTCCTGGGCAGTTGTGGCTAGTGTTCCATCTTCCTTGGTTAGAGTAGGAAACCAGCTGGAAGTGAAGTTGCTTCATACAGCTTTGGCGAAGGACAAAAAAATCTATCACTGAAACGGCTACTTTTTTCAGAGAATTGCAACAAAAAGTATATTTTGCCATTGGTGATTGGCGATAAATGGATATTTTTTCCAGTATTTCCCTATCTATTTATAAATTTGTGTTTTTGTTTTCCTGCATTCAAGCAATTTTACTTCACCAGATAGCACTAAATTGGGAGGGAAATATTTACGTAATCACCTCTGTGTTTTGCTGGATTTCGCTTCGCTCGTCGAACAAAAATAATGCCCAGTTTTACATGAGTTCTGCTGATTATCAGGCAAGTTGACATCGCCTGTTACTTTGTAACCTGTAAGTGCCTATCCGTCAAACAATAATATGTTCACGAATCAGCTACGAAATAGTTTTGTTACGTGAGTCGTTTCAAAACTTCTATCAGTTTTGAAAAGTATCAAATTACATGTCGAAATCAGAAACAATATTGTTGCCTGGACCCTTGCATCTTGTAGTTACATCGGAATTTGACTACTACTGCATTGATATGGCGTTTATTGCCTTTGTAGATTATAATATAATTATAATTTCCATTTAGCACATGTAACAACAGCGAGGGTCCTCAGAAATATGTTTTTTCAATTTAGTGCCATGTAGTGTGGAAAAAAAAATTATATTCTGTCATATCCATCTATCATAATACAAGTGTTCCACTACAGTCGAGCTCAGGAGATTGGATAAAACTCCATACCCGTGATCACGTGAGATCTGAAAATAGATTTTTTTGTTGTCGGCTGTCGGGATATGCACACTTGATCAACTCATCAACATTGTTCATCCCATGGACTACATAATAATATACAGGGTTATGATAAAGTAATGCACAAAATTCATAAAACGTACAACGATCACTTTTGAAAAAAATGCAAAAACACGTCAAACTGTTTTTTTTTATTCCGCATCTTTTGACATAAGTTACAAAAATAACACGTCAAAGTTGTCAAAGTCACGTCAAACTGTTTTTTTTATTCCGCATCTTTTGACATAAGTTACAAAAATAACACGTCAAAGTTGTCAAAGTTATGACGTCATCAACAATTTTTTTTTAATGGGAAGCTAAGATTTTTATTACATTATGTGATAGAGCTTGTGTTTTTACACAAGGGAAAAATAGTTGCAGTAGGGCTCACATAATGTAATAAAAATCTTAGCTTCCCATTAAAAAAATTTGTTGATGACGTCATAAATTTGACAACTTTGACGTGTTATTTTTGTAACTTATGTCAAAAGATGCGGAATAAAAAAAACAGTTTGACGTGTTTTTGCATTTTTTTCAAAAGTGATCGTTGTACGTTTTATGAATTTTGTGCATTACTTTATCATAACCCTGGAATTAATTAATTAATGAAATGGTGAATGGTGGGAATGACTGAGGAATCATGGGCAAAGAATGAAAGGCATGCCTTGGATTATTCAAATAAAAAATATGAAAAATCACAAAATGTTCAAAAAGCTTCTACATATTGTAACATGATAATACTTATATTCCAATTACGCTCTGCATCATTCAAAGCAAGCGCCCAAGCCAGATAGAACTTTTCTATGTACCTGTGAAAACTGAAATATCAGGTTACTATGTTTCTAACAGACTTGTTTTAATGATTGAGGTATATTTCCCCAAAATGTTTGCCATGAACCTATTTTCAATAATAACTCATTCTCTATTCAAAATCTCCATCATTTGTTTCAATACTGAATGGCAGGATAGCTATAATCACTTGAAGAAATCCATGCAGAATTTTCATATTTTTCACTGATTTTTCAGTACTCCTTAGAAAGCTCCACCCTCAACAGCCTCACAAATACCACCAATAATGTCTCCGAACCTAAAATTCCGGAACCGGAAACCGTTCGAAGGTTCCTCGACACCACCGTCATGTGCAATTCACCTTCTGCCAACTACTACAAACCGACAGACGAACCTGAACCGTGGGACATCACTCAACTCAACATAGAAGCCAGCGTTATGTGTCTAGTTAGCAAAGTCAAGTTTCTCTGTGGCAGGTGAGTGCACCTACATACATTTTTAACTAGACCGCTTATGCCATAAGATCAAAGCGAATAAATCTACAAGAAGGAACTTGCTTCCATGGAGCGTGCTCATTCATGACATGTCGTATCTCTACTCACTATTAATAATAATAATATGCCTTATTGTCTGAAGAAGAATCTTGTTGACAAAGCTAGGTCAGATAATATTGTATAAAAAGTTAAAAATATAACAACATAAAAATACGGGACAATATAGTCAAAATAAATACCGCATTGAAATACTAAAATATCACAATTCAAACGTTTCACTATAATACTTCTGCAAAGGTCTATCACAGCGGAATTTTTTGACTTTCTTCCTAAATTGACAGTCATTCAGACTTGCTGACCTTATATCAACTGGCAAGTTCTTGTACATTTTCCCACCATTAATCTTTAATCTTTAATAAACTCTCTTGTGGGCAGAGGGAGTTTCAAACTGAAATTGCTGTTGCACGTGGTACGATGGATGGGAGTTGTAGTGAATTTCAACTTGAGTTTATTTATCAGGCGAACAGATTCCAAAATGAATAGTGCAATCACTGTCAATATTTTATTATTGGAAAATAAAATTCTGCAAGAATTACTTGTGTTATCTTCCGAACCCTACGGGTCATGACTTTGTGTTTAGTATAGAAATTCAAATGGTGGAATCACTACCTATTGGAAGGGGTTTAGAAATCTCTCTATATCGCCTACTTTGTAAAAATGGCGAGGCATGAGAGAATCTTGCTAAATTTCCGAAGTTTCGAACCAAATATACAGGCATCATGACAGATTTATTTAACTTAATATTTTAATTTTTACAATTTTTGGTGGAAGTGGAAATGGTGCGTTATATTTTCGACTTTCAATTTCGAATTCATCAACGACTTGAGCCCTAACTCAAGAACATCCTGTGAAGATAATTTCTTTACACACTTTTCGTACATAACATGAAACAAATTTTCTGATTTTTATATAATCCTCACACATTGCAGCAACTTCAGTCCTGATATTAGTACAATACACTGACTCAACTAACATATTATCAATGCCTGCTTAATAAAACACTCATTCATAATAATTCATTATATTGTCATTTAAAATTTGATCGTAAATATGCCGCAAACGTGACACTCCTGACAGATGTTCGTCTAGTCAAGATGTCATCAGATCATAATTTTTCATTCCTGCCAATATTGGTTGCCATAAAAGTTGAAGAGAAGCTAAATCTTTCTAAGAATTTCTATATCCGAATCCTTATTTGTCACGATGAATCAGGTGATTCATTTTGGACGACTGCGCATTCTCTCGTAGAAACTATTGTGGAGACGACTTTGAGCATTCCTTCCGCCTTTTGATGAATTTCCACTCCACTTTGAGCAATATGGACTTCTACCAAAGATCAACATCCTCAAAAGTCTAGTATAACTTCATAAGATTAAACGCATTTTGAAATTTTTTTGAGGGCTAACACTTTTGAATATCCACCTGATCGCACCATCAAAAGGTGAGGTCAGAGTTGGTAAAACTGATAAACATACTTCTTCTTTTCATGTGATTTGGCCTCTTCCTACGATCTTATTCTCCGTCAATGTAAGGTCGTAAAGTTCCACATTGAGAGTAAGAAAACGTGATTCGTTTCTAGTCTTTCCATAACTTGAGGTTTTCTAATTGTTCAAATATCTTACATCACTTTTCCGAATACAGCCCACAGCCTTTAGGGCTATCTGGCAAAATTGTGAGATTTTGGACTTTGACCTCGAGTTTTAGTATCGCCCACTGGTGTCTTTCTTCACTGAGTGTATATTTACGTCTGATTGACACATGCGAGTAAGAAGGAAACACATAAATCGAGTGTAGAAACACCCCACCAGTTCATTCCAATGGAATTCGCTATAAGTCCGACGAAATAATTGAATAGTGGGCCCTCCATAGCAATTATAAACATCTCAACTCGATGTCATGAATGACAGTTTGGAAGTTCCTGCACATGGAGCAGAAAAGTTTTCAGGCGAGCAATTTCGATGAGATTTTCGGGTTATTAGATATAAGTCTTTATTGAACCATGAAAAATTATATTTTCATTTTATTTCAAAATTGAAATTGGGTTGCTGGGATATGACAAATAGCGGTCTAGATAGTAGTTATGCCAGTGGGGGAGTGTAGATCAATCTAGCTGTTTATCCAAATGACCGAATCAATTTTTGCAACAGGTGTAACAGTCCGGCTGTCAGACTAAAGCAAAATGCTAGGAATGGGAGAAGGGTGGTCATAACGGACCAACCTAGCTCCGATAGTATCATCAATAAGGAGGCTGAAGCTGTGTCAAAAGCTGTGAATAAGGTCTTGAGGAATGGTGAGTTAGTTACATTGAAACTCACATATAGAACAATGGTAAATGCTTGAGAAGCAGTTTCAAAGTTTTAAGTATCAAGTATTTAGTCTTGAAAAGTTCAGTCAGTTGTTTTCGAAATTGAATATTTGTGATTGCTCCAAAATAGTCAGAAAACATTGTGTTAGGTACCTGAAACATTGATGTGAAATCAATACATTACGCCGAATTAGCTAATGAAAGTTTGTTTTTCTTCACGATATAATGGTTCTCATGATTTATTTATTACTCAAAACTTACTAGAACATTTTCGACTTGAAACAAGACGATGGGAAGTCACATTATTACTCAGTCTGCTGTTATAACAAAGCTGTAACCTGACAACTTTTTGGATGGGCATTTTCGGCTTTAGTTGAATGTATGTGCCAAGAGATAATAATAATTATTTATTCATTGAATCAAGTGAAATCTACATATCATTTCGTCATTAAATATTAGTCACACAATATTTCTCATTGTACCTCCTCCACATAGGTGATCTGTATGAAAGAGATGAATTATTTCATGCATAAAAATAAGTTTTTCACAATGTGAATACTCAATATGAATTCAAATAATCAATTTACACAAAAACAAGAATAAAATAAAAATGAAGAAAAAGAGTTGATCAAAAGAGATCATTAGCTATATTCATCTCCGTTTAGCCGACATAGCAATATGCAGTGATGGCCCGTGCCCTCAGAACTTGGGTCGACAAGGGTCGATGTAGATCTAGTTCGTCAACTTAATTTTTTGTTTTTAATGAAATTATAATAAATGGCTTACCAGATACTACCTCTCTTACGCTCGCCATGATTATTTTTATATTTTTCTGCTAAATCTGAAGCCCGAATAAACTATTTTCGACCTATTCAACACACGACAAACCAAAGGACAAAAGCATCACAATGATTAATAACAAGCCACCCCTCTCCTTCCTGGTCGGCCGGCCTTACCTCCGTGTATCGTCAAGTGTCCTCAAAATGTTTCCCGCGGTGGAAGGCGTTAAGTACATAATAGAGAGTTGAAGTGTTGTCATGAACGTTAACGTAAACGTAGAAATTGAAAGCTACGCATGCGCATTTTCCAATTCTTCACGTTTGCGTTGTTAGTGGGCTTACGGGTGTACGTTATCTCACGTTCCTTCACGTATACCTTAAATATCAACGTACGTTAACCAAACTATACTCGAAATATGCCGATGAGTCAAAATTATCAAATTCGAGATCACCAACGAGTTCTGCATCAAGGAGTCCTCTAATTTTGACAGGAATAAATGTTCGAATCCAAACACACAACAAAAAATGACCAATACAAACCGATAACAAAATGTATTATTACGTTATGATGACAGGGACGACCAAAGTGGCGACTTCAACTCAATTTAACGACAATACGTAAACATTATTTTTCGTACGTTAACGTCTACGTGGAGGTCTACGTACAGTGATTACTTCAACTCTCTACTATTTATTACCGATACATGCCTTTTCCAAAATAAATAATATTCTAGAAGTTCCATACATTTTCATCACCAGAGCTTTTTTACAATGTTTTAATACTTGGCTCTTGGACTGCTGAAATTTGTTTCGACATTGACATATTATTAGTCACATTACATATAATATTCAAGTTATACTTGAATGATTGCCGCTCAGGAGCGCTGAAGGTAAATCAGTAATGATTTTAATATTTGATGAATGTTGAATTAGGAATTACTGAGGAATTGCAAATTAAAAAGACATCAAGTACCTATTCATTTCATTTTCGTATGCCTATTCGAAATTTATTTTTTCTTTCAGTTCGTACATTTCAACATCAACATATAGAAATAATTATTGTTAATACAATGTATTGGTAAAACGAAAATAGAATGACAATGACTATCCGTACATTAATTAGGTCGGTATACAGGGCACAGCACACTATGCGGTCAGTACGTTCGGCCAGCTAAGCCGGCCGTACCAGTGTATGACGCGAGAATTCCAACTTGAACCGGGTGATAGGTCGAGCGGAAGAAACCACCGATCGGCCAGCCGACTGCAGTAGTGTAATGAGATACGCGAGCGTTTCCGTTTCAACGCAAAGCGGTGTTTTGACGATGGGATAACCAGATGTCATACGTCCTGAATTAGTTCGTGATTTTCGGTGTATATTCGGATGGCTTACCTTAAGGTTTCAGTGCATGAAATTCAAATAATAGTTGCATAATAGAAGCATAAAAAACGATGAATATTGAACACAGTTTTGAAATAGTTATTTATGTACCAAAGACGAAACACTGTCTATTATAGTCGCGTCTGCAAATTGATAGCTGAGGCCTTAGCCGAGGCTAGCAATCAAATAATTCAGCTGCTTTTCTCAAATTTTCTGGTACGGCCCGGCCGACACTGCCGTCCCTGACGAACCGTCACTGGCAATATGAACTCAAGGCTATAGCACACTCAGGGATTCGTTCAAAAACCCTACAAATCACTAGTTTCTCGCCTTGGTCGCGAACATGTATCTAAAATTTGTCGACATTTGTTTTAAGGTAACAAATTCACTGACGGCCTGGACCTGAACAAAATCAACGATTGGGCCGCCGAACTGCGGCCCAGCATGCGGAAGTTGCGACAGGCGATGGACGGACTGCTCAAGACGGCCAGACTCACGCACTCAGTGTTCAGGGTGCAAGAGGACCCGAAGGCCGCCCAGAGGGTGTGCAACGTACGGTACCGGAGGGACGTGTGCTTTGCACAAGCTGTGAGTGTTTTTTGAATACAGATGCAGATTGCAGTTAGATAGATAGATAGATAGATAGATAGATAGATTTATTGGTCAGGATATGTATAAAATACATTTACGACAAGTCACAATGGGGGAATTCGCTCCAAGTTGCCAACCTATAAACCTCTACCTCTGTAGAAGCAATATTATGAAAGTTTGATTACTCAAATAGCTTTAATTTGGTGCAATGTGATTGTAGGCGTCTACTCAGCTCTCTAATGGAGGTTATACAGAAGAAAAATCAAGTTTTGTGAACTTCACATCTGGCTGATTGAAAATCATGTTGGTGCATCTGCGGTACGTCAATACTGAAATGTCAATACTTTAAAAGTGTCAGTAGTGTCACGAGTAGAAAATGTTATAAACCAGTTTCTGGCTCTTCAATTTCATCAGACAAGAGATTCAATGAATCGTGATTTTCATGAGAATATATTTGTGCCAGGTCGTCTGCAAACATAACGTATGGGGATAAAAAAGTGGGTAAATCATTAATATATATTATAAACACTAAAGGCCCTAGCACAGAACCTTGTGGTATATCAAATCTAACACCTTTGAAATCAGATAGTTTATTATTGTAGTATACTGCTTGAAATCGATAGCTTGAATATGATTCAATGAGACTGAGAGTGACGCCTCTGATCACATAGTAGTTCAGTTTCTCAAGAAGTATTTCATGGGAGACACAGCCGAAGGCTTTAGACAAGGAATTTTAATAAGGAATTACAACATTTCATAATGATAACTATGTGAAATTACTATTTACCTGGGAAATCATATTCCTTCGTCTCCCGCTGCATTTTTTGTGCATTGTACAACAGCACAATGCGAAGGCATGCTTGAATTAATGAATAGCCCAAAAAACACGATTCGTTTGCCATAATATTGTGAAAAACTATTTCAATCCTTTGATTCCTCTGTAACCAAATAAAAAAGTGAGGTTGTGTTTCAATAATTCACAGAAGAGTGAGGTTGTGTTCCAATATTTTACCTCCAGGGTCGGTCATCGTGCACGCGACCGACCTATTAACTATCAGATTTTGAAAAACATAATGAAATGACTCGTCAAATATTATGCGAAGGCTCTGATCATTGTTTTTTCTTAAATTCCAACTGTAACATCAGTGACTGTCAATTTTTTTTTTCAAATGGCATCATATCTTTCTCAATTTTTTACTGTTGGAGATTTTATTTCTGATTATAACGATATATGACAGGATTGACAGGTTGAATCTTGGACAGAGAATTAGTTGAAATTAAAATTAAATGCTCAGTTGACAAGAAATGGATATTCCCATAAAAATTCGAGATGTACCGTTCATTGAATGTGAAAGTAAATGTCACTTGAATGAACGTCAGTGTTTTATCTGTTGGATATTACGGACACCACATGTGATTTTGAAGTGTGTTGTGAAAAAAATTGAAATGATCAATCTGGTCATCGTTGAGTTAAATACACAATTCACACTTACTTATTGTTTATTTATGAGGAAATTATAAGTATGAATATGACAAGATCATCTTGTCATATGTCATGGACCAATCAATATGTGTGAATTATATGTTCAACATAACGATGACCAGTTTGAAAATTTAATTTTGTTCACAGCACACTTTAAATTTGAAAAAATATGTGGTCTTGAAATATACTTCGAATGAAACACTGATATTCCGATAAGAAATCAGAGAAATTACCAAATTTCAAAAATGAAAACTATATGTGAGTGACTATAGTAGGTATTTACTTTCAAATCATAATGTACCAACCGGATTCCTTCGTCTTCTGCTGCAGTTTTTGTGCATTGTACAACAACACAATGTGATGGCATGAGCGAATTAATGAATAGCCGAAAAGTGAGGTTGTGTTTCAATGTTGTTCCTCCAGGGTCGGTCATCTGACATTTCTTTCACGCAACCCATAGCGGCGCTCTCAAACGTCCTTCACGCTCTCCCATCTCTTTTCAGTTGACATCGCTCGTCACCGGCCTCATGACCAAACTCTGGTGCCACAAGCCCGACCCCGCCTTCGTCGCCCAATCGGCCGCCCTCGGTCCACTAGCCTGTTTCGAGGGCCTGCTCAGCCACTACGGCAACGAGATCGACATGTGGGGCGACATGTCGGTGGCGGTCGAGGATCTGCGCACCGTGCTGTTCACGCTGGCGCGCAGCCCGAGCCCCGCCTCCGACCCCGCCCCTAGAGTGGGGGGGACGCGGAGCGCGCTCACTGTGAGTTTGCCGGTGCCCGATGCGGTATACTGTTTGATACCGGCGCGGCAAACGGTTTCCTTCCACGTTACGCCGGTGTTCTTCAACATAGGTAATTGTGAAGCTCTTAGTTTTGTGTTATGTTGGATGTGTATATAGATTCCGACCACGATAACTTTGGGACAGCACGTGAAGTAACGCAGATGCAGAGTAAATACATACGCGATCACATGCTGTGCCAGAGTGATCGTGGTCAAACTCTGACAGTGAGACAAAACTCACATTCTATTTATGAAGTGACAGAGATCCCCTTTTATGGTCCAGCGTTGCGGCACTAGTATGGTTAAGGGTCAACTGTACACATAGACATGCACTGTATGAAACTTCATATAATTGAGAATTGAGGTTACGATGTACCTCAACTCATAAAGGCACAATTCAACATTGAGGCAATTTGATAATCATTTTTCTTGAAGTTTCATGAACAAATTTCATTCCTTCTAATGAATGAACATACATATACATGCGGGTCGATTCTGTTCGGATCTTGTTATAAAATTGCTGGATTACTCTGTTTGGATAGTAACTGCAAGATTAGTTATAAGTTCAAGTGATAGCTTGATAGCAATATTGTTGAACTCGTTTGTTGATTGTTTGATACTGTTAGTGCATTTTTTTATGAAGAAGAACAGTTATTGTTTTCTTAACCCACCCTAACCTCCCAAATATGTCTGTCTTGCATGACATTTTCAAAATTATATTATTCAATACAGATTGTATTTGGTGAATTTGGTCGTGGTTGTACAAGTGGTGCAAGTAATCCATTATGTCCCTTATGTCCCGAAATAAGGAAACAACCAGAAGTCAGCTGGGATTGATCGTAAATTTTTTGGAAAAGAACTCGAGTTTTAAAACCGAAAAAAACCTACGTTGGTAACTTATTCAATCGAAATACCTTGATAAACTTTTCATCAGGCAACTTGAATAGATTGCTGGTGTCTCTGATATGACGAAATTGTAGTCTCATAATTCCCCAACAAATTGAAACTTCAAGGAGAGGTTTTCAAATAGTAGTAAACTTATTATAAATGTGGGGCGACATGTCGGTTGCGGTCGAGGATCTGCGCACCGTGCTGTTCACGCTGGCGCGCAGCCCGAGCCCCGCCTCCGACCCCGCCCCTAGAGTGGGGGGGGGCGGAGCGCGCTCACTGTGAGATTGCCGGTGCCCGATGCAGTATACTGTTTGATACCGGCGCGACAGACGGTGTCCTTCCACGTCACGCCGGTTTTTTTCAACATAGGTAATTGTGCAGCTCTTAGTTTTGTCTTTTGTTGAATGTTTATATAGATTCCGATTACGATAACTCAGGGACAGCGCGTGAAGTAAATGCATACGCGACCACGTGCTGTCCCAAAGTTATCGTGGTCTAACTCTAAGAGCGAGGCAAAACTCACATTCTATTTATGCACTAGTATGACTAAAGGTCAACAGTCATCTATACGACATGGAATGCATGAAACTTCATATAATTGAGGTTAGGATGTACCTGTACTCACAAAGGCACAATTATGATATAAATTTAATAAGTTCATACTTCATCTATAATGTTATACGAATTGGTGTTTTGATTATATTTATTCCACCTAAGTAACAATACCATGCAATGAGCAATGTCAGCAATCTCAAACATTCCGTAAGAACAATGCACTGACAAGAGTAGGTTTTTGTAAATATTGTAATCACTCAAATTTTTGTACTTTGATGAGACTAAAAGTGCTGATCGATATATTATGGAAATTCATGTTTGATAGGCTGCAATTAGCAGAATAATGTATCATGTATTTGCGAACGTAACGTCAGTGATCAGAATAATCAAACTTTTTTGGTAACTGTGTTTATTTAATCTACCCGCAACTACCAACATTTCACAACGTTGAGGCGTTAATAACGGTTTTTTACTGGGGTTTCGTGAACAAATTTCATTGCTACTAATAAATGAACAAATATTAGTACCATTTTTTATGAAGAAAAAGAAGAGTTGATGTTCACTTGACCTTCCAAATAAGTAGAAGGAATATTCCTTCAATTGGAACTTCTTTTCTATGAAAAGACCATAGCCTACTATTAAAATTCAATGTTTTAGTGAATTTGGAGCGTTTTTGAAAATTTTATAGTCATACATTATGCACCATTTTGAAGTTAAAAAAAGGACTTCAATGAGCTTATAAAATACAGGGTGTTCCATTTAAAATTCATAAGTTTGAGTCGTATCCCCAAAACCATAACCCGAAAAAAAATTGAGTGCCCCACTGGATTCTGCGTAAAATTCTCAATGGGATAAGATTTTGATTTGACATTTTCGCTGAGAAACTTCGTAGATATAGAGGGAGTTCAAGAAGTATAAATTTTTAGCATCACCCTTCATCTCATAAACGGGAACAGGTATCCAAAATCTGATAAGGCCATCTTTAGATGAGATATCACGCATAGGTCTCAAGTCCTTGAATTCAGTCGCTGTCGGAATTTTTGGAATGGGTGTAATTATTGCCACACTAATGGTATAATACCAGTACATAGTGACTCATTGATTATTGATGTGATTGCGCTTTTACAGTAACAGAATACATACTTCAACATTTTGAGGTTTATTCCATCGAAACCACATGCGTTGGATCTAATAGTACTCAGAGTGTATTCCACATAGGCACTGGTTACTTCATAGAATGAGTACTTTTCCTGTTGTTGTCAAATGCAGTAGTATAATACTCTTTTATTAGTTCTTCACTAACCTGCTTATTTTCAATTGAATCGAGGAAGAAATCATTTATTGAAAATGGATTGGAAATTTCTGGCGATATAATTGAACTGGTTTCACCATGTATATTCCATTTCGAGAAGTCTTTCCACATTTGCTTTGGGTTGTTCTTATTTTGTTTGAACTGGTGATGTATATACGCAGTATTTTCATTTCTCAATGCAATTGATAAATAATTCCTTATATTTTTGTAAAAATTCAAATCAGCAGTTGACCTGGTGTATTTTTATTTAGCATAGGCCTTTTATTTTCAGTTTGATCATTTCTTTCAGTGTTTCAGTTATACAGGGTGTTGCGAAATTCGACCGACAACGCTTGATAGGCGATAGCTCTCGTGATTTCATAATCACTGAGATGCCATGTTGATGAATTTTGAACTTAGTGATTATGAAATCACGAGGGCTATCACCTGTCAAGCGTTGTCGGTCGAATTTCGCAACACCCTGTATATTTTTTTTTTGCTATTGCATACCTCGTTGGTCCCAGCACTGGGACCAAACGCCCTATAAGTCGAAACTTTTGCGGGGTTAGGTATACATACAAACACAAACATCCATGGCCTAACTAGGATTCGAACCTATGTCTCGGTGGGAGTCCCCATACGAACTCAGCGCCTTCACGCTCTCGACCACCGAGCCGCCTTTGTTTTGTAATGTTTTCGATTTATCACTGTTTTGTATGGAGCATGCATATCGAAAGTTAATATCTTGTTGAACCGAAGGTATCAACGAGATGGCGACGATAGCGGAGAGCATCGGCGCCACCAGGCCGCAGGAGCGCGCCAACATCGACAACTTCGAGCGCCTCAACGAGTACTACCTGCGCTACAGGAAGCTGTGCGCGCCCGAGGGCGGCGCTAGCGGCGGTGGGCGGCCCTCCCCGGGCTGCCCTGCGCCGCAGATCCGGTCGCTGGGCGAGACGGTGGAGGCGTTGCGCACGAGCGTGCACAGCTCGAGGGCGAAGAACGTGGAGGTGCTGCACTTGGCCGCGCAGATATGCAGGCAGATGAAGGGTGAGTCACCTGATCCATGTAATAGACAGAAAATCACAGCTAATCAGCGATAGCGTGAATTACGTCACTCTGCATCAGGGTTGCCAATTGAAAAATCATGTTTTACCCAATGAACTCAATATAAACAACTGGAAGGGACCCTCTGTGAACGACGAGTGAGGCAAAAATATTGCTCAGGCAACCCGCAGTGTTTACGGATACCTTTATCTCTCTCTATCTTATGTTCGCTAATGGGAAGCGCTCGCATTATTTGAAATATTTTCTCGTTTTTTGCTTTTATTCAAGAGTAAACGTGATTAAATGAAAATATTCATATAGGAAAAATGGAAATTATCAACAGTAATTACACAAGTGGTGGTAATTTTTTGATAATTTTAACTAGATGCACGAATCTTTGTTGCTATAGAAATTTCACGAGTGGACGAAGTCCACGAGTGGGATTTCTCAATAGCAACAAAGACGAGTGCTAAATCTAGTTAAAATTATTTAAAAAAATAACCAACACGAATGTAATTCGGCGTGATTATTTTTTTTACTATTTCGCAAAATGCCCCAGAATATGTTTATTAAACAATTATTTATTGAACAATCATTTATCATACAATTATATATCAAACAATTATATATCAAACAATTATATATCAAACAATTATATATCAAATAATTATATATCAAACAATCAAGAATGTTTACAATTTACGTTTGTAATGGTGCAATTATTGTATGTTATTGTACAATTTCCTTGAGATGAAGAGGTCGAAACAGTGTTTCCTCTCAAGTTGTTTATCATGCTTGCGTGATGCTCTTTGTCAAGTTGAAGATAGGGTTTGATGGAGCTTGCAGATGAATGTCCAGTTATCTTCAACAACTGCTGCTCACTTACTCCACTTTTAGCGAGTTGTGTCACAGCAGAAGAACGATGTGAATGGTTTGTAACCTTGATTTTGCTAGGATCCAAGCCAATCTTTCGGGCCGCTTGTTTTGTCCATTTTGCTATTTCATTTTGTCCTACCGGAAGATTTTTGTACCACCCCTTAGACAAAGGTTGCTGCCAATTTGGATTAGGTGTTAAAAATAAACGATCAATTTGAATATTTGCACTTCTTTTCGACATTAACTTCCGAAAGAGACGTACTGGACATTTTTCAGTCTCATTTTCATTTGGCGTTAAAAATTTGCTATCAGATAACCTGTGCGATCCTCCTTGTGCTGTTTTAGAAATTATTGGATTATATTCTATCCTTCCAGTTTGATTTCCATAATGATCCATTTCTTCTCTAAAATACTGTACTAATGCTTTTGTCGCTTCTCCGCCTCTCCAAGCCAATTCGTAGCTAGCAGTATGATAAAACTTCCTTTGTAAGCCATTTGGAGTATTTTCGTCCCATGCTGCTATCATTTTTTCTATTTCTTCTTTCTTGAGAGCAACAGAAGATGCTTTTCTTTTTTCAGGAATATGTTGAAGTTCTCGACGTTTGCAATTCCGCGCATCTCGCGCGGTCTTAAATTCAATATCAGTGAACGGATCAATGTTTCTATTATACTCCCTGAAATATTTTTCCTGGATAAGTTTTGCGGTGACATTCCACAAAGTTTTGACAACAGATTCTTTGTAGTTTTCTCCATTTTTTTTTCGCATGTTATATGCCCAGTCCTCCATAATTGATGCGATTTGTTTCATCTCGGTTGTTGCAGTCAACTCATAATTACGTTCAAGGCAGAACTCCAAAAACTGTTTCCATATCGTATTCTTGCTTTTTGTGGTGTTGATTGGTGTTGCTTGTTCGACAGCTAAATGTATTGAATCAGCCGAGCTTTGACCAAATCTCGTGCTCATGTCGGTTTCTGTTAATGACTAATAATAATTGTAAAGTTTTTCCGAACCTATACCAACTCGTTTAAACGTTAGAGAAAATCACAAAATACGAAGTCTGACTGATACTTAACAATGGCGTCGGTTCTGAATTCGAAATGTTTACATTGAGACAAATAGCTGCGTTACCTTGACAACCAAGTCAAGTCAATGCTAATTCTCTAAAGGTGCCCCATAGACTGCGTTGTTGGTAGGCCGTTTTGTTCGTCGAACAAGTCTGTTCGAACAAAAAAGACACAAAACTAAAGTGTGTGGCCAGCGAAAACGAACATTTTACAGCCACACACTTCGGTTGTGCGCAATTTTTGTTCGAACAGACTTGTTAGTCGAACAAAACAGCCTATCAACATCGCAGTCTATGGGTCCCTTTTTGTATCCATTTGAAGGAAGATCCAAACGTGAATAAGTCATCGCGGTAATTTGATACTAACAAATTATCAGTATGATTCCGAATGATTGGCTAGAATCACGCATTGATATTGGTTGAAACAAGGAAAACGTCACATTTTGACATGTAAAAAAAATAATCATTACAAAATTATTATTGATTTTTTTCTTGACTTAAAAATGAAATTTCATTTTTATTCTTACAGGAATAGGAAGTCAAATGAATACAAAATTGAAATTATATATTTTCATTCAAATGTCACAATATATTGTACAGGGTGAGCGAAGCACAATATCTTAGCACTATCAGAAGAGAAAGAAAAACGATTGGAAAAATTTGAAAAGAGGTTCTTGAATGGTATTGACTACCTAAGGTCCATTTTGAGCATAATTTCCATAGGTTCCTATTTTACCAAAATACAATCCTCAATACAATATCCTTCTCCAATGGAACAGTTTGGGTTTCTTTATTGATGAACTTCGAAACTTGGAAACTGAAAGTCATTGGTAAAGTCCATAATATGAGAAACATCTTCCTTAGGACCCAAGTTATGAACTTCCACAGATGCATTCTGAAAATAAATTACTAGCTAATTTTTTATTTTAAAGAGGTGCAAACATACTTTTTTCTTCATTATTAATCAACTAGGTACCTATGAGTTTTCTTATTTTCCTTCAAGGATCAGTATTTTTTTGTAACAAATGCTTAGGCAATGGAAATATACTGGGTACAGCATGTGGTTTCAATAACCTAATATGGTCGAATAATATCCATATGTTCATTTAGTGTGACATAGAAACTCTCGGAGAAACTGATATTTCGATTCTAGTGAAAATATGTTTATTTTTCAGGTATTAGGTTTACCAGTTGTAAAAGTGCCAAAGATCGGACGGGCATGTCAATTACTCTGGAGGAGTGTCAGATTTTAGCAGATGAGTATCATCTGGCGGAACACGAATTTCAAAAGGCATTAGATTGTCTGAGAAGGTAAAAATTAATAATCAATTGAATTTATATAATATTATACAGTATTCTCCCTTCAAATCTAAATATACAGACACATGAGACACACTCACACCTAACCTATAAGGTATTGACCATACATTCAAAGATTAGATATTTCGTATTGTGAGGTTGGCTACACAGGTGTCAAATGTCAAATGATGTGAATTAAATTGGCACCACTGTCAAAATTATTGTATTTCTATTAGATCAAGAGTCTTGTAGATTATTGAAAATAAGAGGACCCTTCGTTTCTTAACTAATCACTTATAAATTACATTGATAAAAGATTATGCATTCGATAAATAACACTCGATTTGACAGTACTTACTGTCAACAAATAGCACAAAATGTCTATAACCTATTCCAGCTGAAATATGGTCAATTCGTAGATATTCTTTCTTAGTAATTTATCGTCAAATTCAATTCACATTTTGAGCATCAATAGAGAAGATTTAATGAAGTGAAATCCATATTTTCGAATTAAATGCAGATTCCGTAAGTCATAGTGCCAACAGTGAAACGGCGCGGTGTATGTTTGGTTGACTATACCTCAATTGTCAGTTAATTGAAAAAATTATCATTAATTCGCATTAGAAAATAACACGTCGCCCTGTCTGATGGCAACAATTTGAACACTTCTGAGCGGTTTGTTTTGAAGGATTGACTAATAATCACAAACGAAAAACAAATGTGAACCAATGAAAACAAAGTAAACAGACCGCTTTGACAGCTTCCAAAAACTTACATAGGTGGCGTACGCTTATTTTCTATCGCCAAATTAACTATCAATTTCGTGTAAACTAATCAAACTTTTCAATTCGAATTCTACTAGTCGACGGAAGAAGGTGATTCATCGTAATGCTAACCGAGCGATAACGAGAAATTTATACATGAAGGCATTTGAGCGACCGAGTACGTCCATTATACTTATAAACACCTCAGTTTGAGCATAGAGCAGAGAGTTTATACATATTTGAAATGGGGAGCACTGCTCGATTACAACAGCTACAAGTTTGTGATTTTTGTTTTTTTCAGCGAGGGATGTCGAAGAGAGAACACTTTAAAAAATATTGGCATCAGCAAATACGCTTTCAACACCATGCAACTCCTGGCGTTTCCAAAAGTTTATAGGCCACCTCCAGGAACATATGGTTCTGCACAAACTTAAAACAAATTTCTCAAAGTCGGAAATAAAAATACTTAAAGATCTTCTCAAGGTGCCAATTACATTAAAGTCATGTTTTATTTACTTAAAAAATGTTAATAATAATTGTTAAATCATGTTATTTTCTAGTTACATATTTAATATATTTTTATTTATATGATTTATTTATGAATTTCGTCTTTCAACTGAAGAAAGTTTATAGAAGTTTCAGACAATCCCTTTCAGTAACCAAAAAATCCCATAGTAATAATAAACATTTATTTATTGAGCAATGGATTTCATTGAGAAAATATAGTTGTGAAATTTTCCATATTACCAACGAAATTTTGCAAAGTGCAAAATAAGGCATATTTATATTTATATTGATACATTGTGATATTGATCGATATACTTACCATACCAGGTAGCCATGAAAACCAGATCATCCATGAGTGGATTCTTTAATTTTGGATTCAAGAGAGATAATCTAAAAAATTCAATTTTCTCCTTTCGATCATTTCTCTAAATTCTTTGGAATCTTCTCTCGTTTCTATGAATAAAAAAACAGTTTTATCTCAACACATTATTTGTATTTCGTGATAACAAATCATTGCCAGTGAACGCATCTGTGGGCTGCCACCATCTTTGTACTTAAACTTTAAAGGCGCTGAATATCGAGCCTGGGGGCTCAAAATCTGAAAGTCTCCCGCTACTAATTGAATAACTGGCGAGAGACGTTTGTCTCAAAATGAGAGATGGCATAAGAAAGGTAATTTTAATTCATTTGGCTTCCTTTCGCGGACCCCTTGTATATATGTGATTTAGACCGTTAACCCGGGGCATCCCGGGGTAACGTTTAGACCCTTCTTCTTAGGAACTTAGACCCAATTAGACCATGCACAGGTAAATGGAGCAAGAATCATTGAAAGACCCCTTGTATATATGTGATTTAGACCGTTACCCCCATAGAAATTATATATACACCCCCGGGGTAACTTTTAGACCCTTCTTTTTTGGAACTTAGACACAATCAGACAATGCACAGGTAAATGGAGCAAGAATCATTGAGATCACGGAACGAATGGAACAAGGTCTTTCCTTGGGGGACTAATCTCTGATATAATAAGAAGAAGAAATCAGCGGAATAAGAAAGAAGATTTGAAAAATATATCATTAACCTATCCAATAATTAAATAAACTAAAAAACTACAATTTGCTTTCAATAATTCTAGTTCATTTAAATAATTATAGGTATATGGTATTCTTGAATGTTTAGTTCAACATTGTGAAGAAATGAACAGTGTTGGAGAAGCCTGCAATGATCTAAAGAAAGAATATGATGCATGTTTCAACTCCTGGTTTTCTGAACATTTTTTGAAAGGGAATACCAATGATTCCATGTGTGCCCCATTGTTCAAAGTATACCAACAATGTGTAAAAGTAAGCGACAAATTAATATCTCAACTGTTCATCATTGTCAATGAGTGTTGTGTTCTAGAAAGCCATGAAAGACCAAAACATTGATATACAAGAGGTTAAGAAAGATATTTTAGGCACTGATAATGAAAAGAAGATACCCTGACATACGAATTCTGAATCAATCCTAAATTATTTATCAATTGAAAAGGAGCAAGACCAAGAAACAGATTCAGAGTAATAGTAACTTTCAATATAGGCACCAAGTATATTTCTGGTACTTGCACTCATAACTATAATCCCATCCATAAAATGTTTAGGGTGGATCAAATCATTGATTTTATTGATAGTCATTTTAAGATTAAATTAATTAGGTTACATAAACTTGGGTCTATAGGAAATAAAAAATTGTATAGTTAAATCATGCTTGATTTTGTAAGTTTTGTAGTTCATTCAAATTTCAACACTGATTCAAATTCATTATAATCATATCAATTTTATATCTTACCTACTTGGCAACTTCATCTTTATTCCTAAGAAACATTTAGATATTCCAAGTCACTATTGAATATGAAATCCAAATCTGCAATAAAAACTGTTAGGTTTCAGTAAGAAGTTGAATTTTCAGTTGAAATTTCCATTGGCTTTTGGCAAATAGCTGTAATAAAATGTTATACATTTGTGTCCATTTACTTTTCCAAACATTAGGAATATCCAAATTTAATTTGTCATCTTCTATAGGCATATAGGTACTATATGAATGATTCATGGCATTAAGGATTATGCATTTAACTCTGGAAAACCATTATTAATTTAAAATTTATGATTGCTTTGAAATATTTATTATTTTAAGAATACTATTTTTTTATTGCAGATAAGATGCCTATATCAGGTATTTTTATGACTCATTAAATGATGTTACTTCATATCATTATACTGTACTTGTCATATATACAGGGTGATTCAAAAGTAAGCGGCATCCTTTCAGAGGCGTATTCCTTGCTTGAAAATAAGGCAAAAAGTTCCTATTGATAAGGATCCGAAAATGCTTCCTAAGGGAGCTACGGCCCTTTGAATAGGACACCTCAAAGACGGTTTTTTCTCTATAACTTTAAAATCCTTCACAACAAATTTTTAAAAATTGGTGTACGGCATAAACATTCGATGGTAAATAGGACTCCGTATTCGAAATTTCAGAATTTCATTCAGGGGCGTCACATGCGGGAGAGGGTAAGTGTAAAAATATCCCTTCTTCTCCGGATATTCAGGTTACTGTGATTTCGTTTGGAAATTATTTCGAATACGGAGTCCTATTTACCATCGAATGTTTATGCCGTACACCAATTTTTAAAAATTTGTTGTGAAGGATTTTAAAGTTATAGAGAAAAAACCGTCTTTGAGGTGTCCTATTCAAAGGGCCGTACAGAACCGTCTTTAACCTTTTCGAGGCCCTGGGCACATTGGAATAATGGGGCCCCTACGACTATAATAAATAAGTACCTACCATCTTGGTAGAATAGACAAATAACGTGAAATGCAAAGTTTTAGCATTATTTTTATTTCTTTACAGTTACATTAGATATGATGAATAGATTATATCATGTAATCCACACTAAGTAACTAGCATCCACGATTAGTCCTTATACTACTTATGATGCAAATGTATGGAATACATTCATTATTTCAGAAATGGGCGACATTTGAAGAAATTCCAAAAGTACGTGAGTTTTAATTTTTGAAACCTCATCTCATGACATTCATATGAGAGATGTTACGTCACCGGTGTTGGAGTACTGACGTAATGGACGGTTTTTTTATATACAAACAGGGGTCGTGTGACACCTCGTTTGAAAGGTCTACTGATCGTCTATCCAATAGTCAAAATTTTGCAAAAGAAGATTGAAATTAAAATGGATTATCATTTGGTTAACTGAATCTTGCAGAGATCTTCTACTGAGAATTGATCATCGAAGGGTCGTCTAGTTGAAAAAATACATCGATAAAAAAGTTCTGAACTCTACTTTTTGGATTTTTTTCGGAAGTCGTCTTGTTTTGAAATGAATTTATTCGATACATTTGCATCATACTGTATATAAGTATCTATGCTGATTGAAGATGTACCCTTCTAGATTTTAGTTGAGCAAAATCGTTAATGACATTTTCAAAATCTTTATTTTCGAGCATGTCGCACATTCTATCGACATTAGCGACAAACTATTCAATCTCTCTTGAAGCATTGTAATCGATTTCACTTCTTGCACTGCAGTTAGTTACCATCATGCTTAGAAAGATTCTCAGTGCGATTTATAGATTGGGAAACGTCTCTTAAATTTTTGGTCTCTTTCAAAAGGTGATATATTTCCAGTATACTATCAGTTTTTCCATTTTTACTCTGATCAATTTTCAAGTATTCTGTTAAATCCAGACATTCCATTTCTAACTCTTCCTCGTTTACGTCTTCATAGTAGATTTCAGCAAATTCTTTGCAACTTTGTCTCAACTCTTCGGTATTCAGAGTTTTCAAGTGAAAAAATAAACCAAACTTCAATTTTTTTCTCACTTATTTTCAAGTAAATTATTATTGCGAAAGGCAATTGAAATGATAAAATTATATTGAAATTTATTAACCTTGCTGCATTCGGTAAGCCTGATTTTCAGGCGAGAGTAGAGTAGCTATCGGGACTAGGGGGGCCCAATCCTCGCGGGGCCCTGGGCACGTGCCCAGTGTGCCCAGTGGGGAAGAGGGGCCTGGGGCCGTAGCTCCCTTAGGAAGCATTTTCGGATCCTTATCAATAGGAACTTTTTGCCTTATTTTCATGCAAGGAATACGCCTCTGAAAGGATGCCGCTTACTTTTGAATCACCCTGTATATGAAAGAAAATAGCAGGAAGAAAACCATGTGTTTTCACTTCAGTTTATTCTGTATAAATATAAAATAGAAATATTCACATACAATTCTTGGGAGTTCAAAGACAGCTATGTTACTTTGGATAAAATGATGATAAATGGAGTTTATGCATCATCTTTTAGGGAGTCTTTTAGTATCCCTTTGTTTAGGGGAATATCAAATACTATAGGTAAGTTGTTAGGTATATAATTTATATCACAAGTTGAAGCATTTATAAATATAATTTTTCCATCTGATGTCACTCCATAGCCTAAAAGGAAAAATAATTTCATCATTTTTGATCTCAAACCAACCATGATAATTTTTCAGTAATTATTTTGTGGATTTACCAGAAATAATGTAATAACACAAGTCAGCACATGATTTGTGACTTCTAATTCATCTTTGGAATATTAAATTTTTTATACCTTCATGAATATGTCCAAACACATGATATTTTGGCATAACCCTCTGTTGCACAGTATTCAATAATTCAACACAACCTGCTCTCACACCAGAACATGCCAAGTCACCATGTCCCAAGGGGGGTGTATGTGTTATTAGAACATCAATATCATTGGGTATTTTGTTCCATTTTGAAAGGCATTCATCTCCTCTCTTGAGGTTGAATGCCCAATGACCAAATTCAGGCTGCCTGGGAAAAAATGGGAAGTATGAAAATTGAATAAATTAACAAATTAAGCTAAATACTTGATTACCATGGTGTCCCATATAATCTAATTCCATAGAGCTCTATACTCTACCTGTGTGAAGCTGGCAGCCAGAGTGAGCGGCCAAATTTCCGAACACTTCCGATTGCGCTAGCCAGTGGCGCGCGCTATTTTCCCCCCTTTTAGGGTAACGCGGTGCTTTATATTTGTATCAGCTGTTACATATTTGCCGAACGGGTCGAATGCGGATTCATTTCGAGACTCCGAATGAGTAATCGAGGATGCTGTTTACAGTCGTCGGGGGATGAAACATCAATTATGATTGTATACTCTTATTTTACACACATTAAATATTGTCAATTAAGAGAGATGTTTGAATTCTTTCGAGATAGATAAAAATAAGTGATGAAATGAAGTAAACGATCAGAAAAAGAATTCAAATAGTTTAACAAGATTCTACAGGCATATAGAAAGGTACTTTCTTTGAATTTTCAATACTTCAATCATGAACTAATCTATCACCACTAGTACTGAGAGTCGTGTCTAGATTCCAGCAGTCAAAGAATTATATATATCACTGCTAAATTCTGAATCTCATAAGAAATTATACACGAGAAAAAACATGATGTTTTTTTAAATTTTCAGTATAACAAGAAACTGACCTAACTCCACTAGGTCAGGAAGATGGCTTTTCGAGTGTAGAATCCAGCGCCCAAGAAATTTTGTCTTGCTAAATCTCACAGAAAAATCTACACATAAAAAACATGATTTTTTTCGATTTTCATTACTAAAACCAAAAACTGACTCAACTCCACTAGGTCTAGGAGATGGCTTTTCGAGTGTAGAATCCAGCGCCCAAGAAATATTTTCTTGCTAAATCTCACAGAAAAATCTACACTGAAAAAACATGATTTTTTTCGATTTTCATTACTAAAACCAAAAACTGACTCAACTCCACTAGGTCTAGGAGATGGCTCTTTGAGTGTAGAATCCAGCGCCCAAGAAATATTTTCTTGCTAAATCTCACAGAAAAATCTACACTGAAAAAACATGATTTTTTTCGATTTTCATTACTAAAACCAAAAACTGACTCAACTCCACTAGGTCTAGGAGATGGCTTTTTGAGTGTAGAATCCAGCGCCCGAGAAATTTCTTCTTGCTAAATCTCACAGAAAAAGCTACACTGAAAAAACATGATTTTAAAATGATTTTTTTCGATTTTCATTACTAAAACCAAAAACTGACTCAACTCCACAAGGTCTAGGAGATGGCTTTTCGAGTGTAGAATCCAGCGCCCAAGTAATATTTTCTTGCTAAATCTCACAGAAAAATCTACACTGAAAAAACATGATTTTTTTCGATTTTCATTACTAAAACCAAAAACTGACTCAACTCCACTAGGTCTAGGAGATGGCTCTTTGAGTGTAGAATCCAGCGCCCAAGAAATATTTTCTTGCTAAATCTCACAGAAAAATCTACACTGAAAAAACATGATTTTTTTCGATTTTCATTACTAAAACCAAAAACTGACTCAACTCCACTAGGTCTAGGAGATGGCTTTTCGAGTGTAGAATCCAGCGCCCAAGGAATATTTACTTGCTAAATCTCACAGAAAAATCTACACTGAAAAAACATGATTTTTTTCGATTTTCATTACTAAAACCAAAAACTGACTCAACTCCACTAGGTCTAGGAGATGGCTTTTTGAGTGTAGAATCCAGCGCCCGAGAAATTTCTTCTTGCTAAATCTCACAGAAAAATCTACACTGAAAAAACATGATTTTTTTCGATTTTCATTACTAAAACCAAAAACTGACTCAACTCCACTAGGTCTAGGAGATGGCTCTTTGAGTGTAGAATCCAGCGCCCAAGAAATATTTTCTTGCTAAATCTCACAGAAAAATCTACACTGAAAAAACATGATTTTTTTCGATTTTCATTACTAAAACCAAAAACTGACTCAACTCCACTAGGTCTAGGAGATGGCTTTTCGAGTGTAGAATCCAGCGCCCAAGGAATATTTACTTGCTAAATCTCACAGAAAAATCTACACTGAAAAAACATGATTTTTTTCGATTTTCATTACTAAAACCAAAAACTGACTCAACTCCACTAGGTCTAGGAGATGGCTTTTTGAGTGTAGAATCCAGCGCCCGAGAAATTTCTTCTTGCTAAATCTCACAGAAAAATCTACACTGAAAAAACATGATTTTTTTCGATTTTCATTACTAAAACCAAAAACTGACTCAACTCCACTAGGTCTAGGAGATGGCTCTTTGAGTGTAGAATCCAGCGCCCAAGAAATATTTTCTTGCTAAATCTCACAGAAAAATCTACACATAAAAAACATGATTTTTTTCGATTTTCATTACTAAAATCAAAAACTGACTCAACTCCACTAGGTCTAGGAGATGGCTTTTCGAGTGTAGAATCCAGCGCCCAAGAAATATTTTCCTGCTAAATCTCACAGAAAAATCTACACATAAAAAACATGATTTTTTTCGATTTTCATTACTAAAACCAAAAACTGACTCAACTCCACTAGGTCTAGGAGATGGCTTTTCGAGTGTAGAATCCAGCGCCCAAGAAATATTTTCTTGCTAAATCTCACAGAAAAATCTACACATAAAAAACATGATTTTTTTCGATTTTCATTACTAAAACCAAAAACTGACTCAACTCCACTAGGTCTAGGAGATGGCTCTTTGAGTGTAGAATCCAGCGCCCAAGAAATATTTTCTTGCTAAATCTCACAGAAAAATCTACACTGAAAAAACATGATTTTTTTCGATTTTCATTACTAAAACCAAAAACTGACTCAACTCCACTAGGTCTAGGAGATGGCTTTTCGAGTGTAGAATCCAGCGCCCAAGGAATATTTACTTGCTAAATCTCACAGAAAAATCTACACTGAAAAAACATGATTTTTTTCGATTTTCATTACTAAAACCAAAAACTGACTCAACTCCACTAGGTCTAGGAGATGGCTTTTCGAGTGTAGAATCCAGCGCCCAAGAAATATTTTCTTGCTAAATCTCACAGAAAAATCTACACTGAAAAAACATGATTTTTTTCGATTTTCATTACTAAAACCAAAAACTGACTCAACTCCACTAGGTCTAGGAGATGGCTCTTTGAGTGTAGAATCCAGCGCCCAAGAAATATTTTCTTGCTAAATCTCACAGAAAAATCTACACATAAAAAACATGATTTTTTTCGATTTTCATTACTAAAATCAAAAACTGACTCAACTCCACTAGGTCTAGGAGATGGCTTTTCGAGTGTAGAATCCAGCGCCCAAGAAATATTTTCTTGCTAAATCTCACAGAAAAATCTACACTGAAAAAACATGATTTTTTTCGATTTTCATTACTAAAACCAAAAACTGACTCAACTCCACTAGGTCTAGGAGATGGCTCTTTGAGTGTAGAATCCAGCGCCCAAGAAATATTTTCTTGCTAAATCTCACAGAAAAATCTACACATAAAAAACATGATTTTTTTCGATTTTCATTACTAAAATCAAAAACTGACTCAACTCCACTAGGTCTAGGAGATGGCTTTTCGAGTGTAGAATCCAGCGCCCAAGAAATATTTTCTTGCTAAATCTCACAGAAAAATCTACACATAAAAAACATGATTTTTTTCGATTTTCATTACTAAAACCAAAAACTGACTCAACTCCACTAGGTCTAGGAGATGGCTTTTCGAGTGTAGAATCCAGCGCCCAAGAAATATTTTCTTGCTAAATCTCACAGAAAAATCTACACATAAAAAACATGATTTTTTTCGATTTTCATTACTAAAACCAAAAACTGACTCAACTCCACTAGGTCTAGGAGATGGCTCTTTGAGTGTAGAATCCAGCGCCCAAGAAATATTTTCTTGCTAAATCTCACAGAAAAATCTACACTGAAAAAACATGATTTTTTTCGATTTTCATTACTAAAACCAAAAACTGACTCAACTCCACTAGGTCTAGGAGATGGCTTTTCGAGTGTAGAATCCAGCGCCCAAGGAATATTTACTTGCTAAATCTCACAGAAAAATCTACACTGAAAAAACATGATTTTTTTCGATTTTCATTACTAAAACCAAAAACTGACTCAACTCCACTAGGTCTAGGAGATGGCTTTTCGAGTGTAGAATCCAGCGCCCAAGAAATATTTTCTTGCTAAATCTCACAGAAAAATCTACACTGAAAAAACATGATTTTTTTCGATTTTCATTACTAAAACCAAAAACTGACTCAACTCCACTAGGTCTAGGAGATGGCTCTTTGAGTGTAGAATCCAGCGCCCAAGAAATATTTTCTTGCTAAATCTCACAGAAAAATCTACACATAAAAAACATGATTTTTTTCGATTTTCATTACTAAAATCAAAAACTGACTCAACTCCACTAGGTCTAGGAGATGGCTTTTCGAGTGTAGAATCCAGCGCCCAAGAAATATTTTCTTGCTAAATCTCACAGAAAAATCTACACTGAAAAAACATGATTTTTTTCGATTTTCATTACTAAAACCAAAAACTGACTCAACTCCACTAGGTCTAGGAGATGGCTCTTTGAGTGTAGAATCCAGCGCCCAAGAAATATTTTCTTGCTAAATCTCACAGAAAAATCTACACATAAAAAACATGATTTTTTTCGATTTTCATTACTAAAATCAAAAACTGACTCAACTCCACTAGGTCTAGGAGATGGCTTTTCGAGTGTAGAATCCAGCGCCCAAGAAATATTTTCTTGCTAAATCTCACAGAAAAATCTACACATAAAAAACATGATTTTTTTCGATTTTCATTACTAAAACCAAAAACTGACTCAACTCCACTAGGTCTAGGAGATGGCTTTTCGAGTGTAGAATCCAGCGCCCAAGAAATATTTTCTTGCTAAATCTCACAGAAAAATCTACACTGAAAAAACATGATTTTAAAATGATTTTTTTCGATTTTCATTACTAAAACCAAAAACTGACTCAACTCCACTAGGTCTAGGAGATGGCTTTTCGAGTGTAGAATCCAGCGCCCAAGAAATATTTTCTTGCTAAATCTCACAGAAAAATCTACACTGAAAAAACATGATTTTAAAAT